CACCCGGATATTAGAAAAAGACTTAGCAAGTGATTGTTAATTCCTTATTATTTAGAAAATAAAATACCTAACTTTATTTTTAAAATATCCAGCATAAAATAGACATGATTAAATTATTGTTTTGCACGGTATCAATACTGCGATCAAAAGATTAGTTAAGCTTAGAATATTAGAGTCACATTTTGTCATAACTCGTCGTTTGAATGTTTATTGTCTTGGCTCTTTTAATGCTACTTTTTGCATCTGGTTGTCGCTGATTGTTATGTCTGAAACGCTTATCACTTATACTCGGAACGAGGGACTCCTGCAAATCCCACGACGCAAAAGTAAGAACAAAAAGACTGGTATAAGTTAATGTTTATTAACCCCAAAACACGACGACGACCTTAGTCGAAAGCACACTCATATATTGATTGTACACCCATTTTGATTAATAATTAGGATGAAATCGTAGACTAATTATAGTTCGTGTCAATACAAGAATATCGCATACTATACAGAATAAAGTATCATACGAGACAATAAAACCAAATATTACATTGAGTAATCATTACATTGAATCAAAACGGAAATAATCTTGAACAATAACTCATGATGAGTAAATCAATCAAAAATTGACTTTACTTTCCATCATATCAGATTTTAACTGATACATATAAAGAAATCTGCTTATTTAATAATTTTTCCTTTTTCTCCCTATGTGATTATCCCAGACAGAAATGATTTGATCTATCTTTCTTGTACAAAGTATACCTTTTAAATATTAATCTTTTCTTTTAACATGAATTAAATTTATTCAGGCGATTAAAAGAATCATCATTTGTATATTTTAGTTTAGTTAAAATTTGTACGATACATTTAAACAAGAAATGAACATTTGAATGTGAAAATATTAGCCAGTAGGCATCTACAATACAAAAATATCTTACATTTTGAGGGTATATACACAAGTGAGTAGTAAAACTTGTATTTACAACTGATTAATATCCTTTTTGTGAATGACACATGGAAGTTGGTTAAATTTCGGTTGCATCAAACCAACCATTAAATTACAGTAGACCAACATCCAAAGATATCTATGAAGCAACCCATCATACTAATGTATTCTTCTAATTAAACAAGTCTATTAGTTGTATTTATCACTAAGAAGAAGAATATACTTTTCTTACCATTTTTTTTTACTGATCTCCAAGACGTAGATAACAGTAACCGATTTCATTATGTTAACGAATAAATCCCGAAATAACTTCATGATCAATAGAATCTGACTTATGAAGACTAATAGATATTCATTACAAAATTTATACTCTGGTAACTAACCCAAAAACCACTAACATTTTAAATGATTACTCTTTGTTTTCTAAAATAAAAAAAGTAAAACAACATTTAACTGAAATTGCTTGGTTACTTTACTATCAACAGAATGCATCCCTATTGATTACATAACACAATATTTAATTAATGTATACTTAGGTATGTATGATATACACACAGATCATAACATATAAAAGTATTCAATTGTTAAATGATTAATAATTGTTTGTTTACATTTTGTTCACATGTTCTTGGATATTAATTTGGCTTACAAATAAACAAAGGAAGAGGATGAGTGAATCAGGAAGGAAAAAAAAGAAGGTAAAATATTTACCTAATTTGAATATCAGATAACTGTCCATTATTTAAATAGATAGTCATGAATTATGTCGATGAAAAGAGAAAAAAACAAAACTACTATTTTGTCATAATAATTGGTTCAATTGAATGTAATTGAAAATAAAATGTTATTACATAATTATATATTACTTTAATCAGATATCAGTAGAATAATGACTGACTGATTGACTACCTAACAGTAGTTTCTATTATATTGACATAAGTTTTACCGTTTACTTTGCTTTCAAATATTTTCAGAATCATTAATTTCTCTTATTATTTTTTTGGAATAAATAATAACTTTAACTTTTGTTAAACATTTAATTAATTGAATAGGCTTATTCATAATAATTTGGACAATAATCTTACAGCACATACATAAAATTACATATTATGTGTTTAGAGGGATTACCATTTGATAGTGGTTAGAAAAGTCTACAATGACAAATATTAAAACAATTAAGTATATGTCTATTCAACAAAGGTAATATTATGATGAATTGACTGAATATCTAAGGCAAATCTTGTTCGAAATCGACTGGAACCAAACAATATAATAATTTATAAATAATATACACAAAGAAGTGAGAGAACAAATAGTTTATCCATCCAATTTACTTCTCATATAGCTTGTTTTAAGATTTGGGTTTGTTTATGTAATTATCTGACTCCTGGTTAAGCAATGCTGTTGTTTTATGTGTGATGATGTCACAGTTTACCTTGATATGCCCAGAGATTCTAATCAACATCACGTACTATATTATTAGTTAGACGGACGACCTATTTGTCTAAGTTACACAATGAATATCAATCAAGGCCTTAACATTTATTGGTTCTAGAGCCCCTGCTAATCCAATTGCTAATAAGAAGATGAAGATAAGTGGCAGATTAGTCCTCTCTTTTGCTTAGTTCAATAATGACTCAAAACTCATACAATTATTTATCGGAAATGCCTGACAGTCAATAACCAGCAAATAAAAGATCACACTTTAAGGGCCATCATGCTACTAGTGTGGAGCGAACCGTACGTAATTAGAGGATAGTAAAACGTATAGCGACAGGCAGCAGGTTCACCGAAAGCTCACAATAAGGGCAATATAGATATAACTATACGGTTATTGACTGGTTATACAGTAAAGACATTTATAATGAAAATGAAATAATAAAAAAATAGCCACAAAAGTTTCAACTTCCCTAATACTTGCTGCCTCATAACAGGATCTACTTCTCACTAGAAGTAGTGTCAACTCGAACATGGTTCATTTCAACAAATCGAATACGAGTTTCTATGTTGATCGTCGACTAAATGTTGTTCAGTTATCACCAAGATATAAAATAATAGAAGCTGCAGAAGCCCCGTCGTATTTACGGCCTTAGAAATATTGGTTTTGAAATAAATTCATAACTTCTATCAAAAAGCAAAAATATGCGGTGAAGAAAATATTGTTTTCGATTATTTCATTCTCAAAAACTGTACAATCCCACCTACGTAAAATAACAAAAGCTATCAATAAGTTTTGCATATATTCAAATAATGAGTGGAAAACCATAGTGTTATGGAGTTTGTAATTGTTATTTTATTTTATAATCCGTTAAATTAACGTTTAAGTTACGTACATAGAATAGTCATAATCACCCAATCAATTATCAACATCGTAGGGGCTGATGAAAATATGTATCGTTTCAAATCACCTATGTTAGGAAATTAACCAGGTGAGATGGAGATGAATGGAAGTAATTGTTTTAGATAATTAAGTGGGATAAAATTGATCACGAAGCGTTCCTTAAATTACTAGAAGTCTTATTTATGTAAAATACAAATTTTTTAAATCATGGAATGTAATTTAATTTTCACAACTTAGAAAGCTAATCGTCATGATGAAAAAAAGCGTCGTGAAACTGAAGCTTGGGAGAAAGACGCATAGTTGTCACTTCCACGACTCTTGAAGAGTTTAAAGGTTAGAGTAGAACCAAAGAACTTATAACACTATGACTAAGAAATTTTACTTCAATTATTGACAGCATGCACCAACATCAACATCCGTGGCGTATTTTAGTGTGAAGAAACAAAGTATTATCAAATAGACATTCACAAGTACTTTAGTGGATGTAGCTTCAACAGTTAATGCATGAGGTTATAATCATTATCATCATGAAATAAGTGTAACTAAGGATATCACTAACGTGTGACAACGAAATACCTAAGCATGTATATAGAAAGATAGGGATATGATTAAAATTAATATTCTAATTAGATAGAATCAAGAGATTGTTAAACCAGTGATTTTTGAAGCTGTTTTCGTACATAAAGTGATGGGTAGAATGAATTGATCACCTCTATAGGTATTTTTAATTTAAGAGAATAATTTTGGAGATCCTATGTAAACGTTGAAGTTCTCTAGAAAGACATTGAAGACTCTACGAATAAACCATCGTTTGTTTTAGATTAGCTAAGGATAAGAATAAATGAAGACTTGGTATGGTGGGATAGTTAAGTTATTGCTGTATTGCATCTTCATCAATCTCAGAGTATGTAACATTCCCAAGCTAATTAATTCACGTAACGCAACACAAAAGGGATCAAACAGACCACAGTGAGTGGCGAATAGAACAATATACATATGTTACTGTTAGTTACGTGTATTATCTTGACTATCCAACAAATAGTATATATAGGTAATGGTAACCAATGATTTTATTACCCTGTTAAAAACAGGGTAAAATTTAAGCCATATTGGATTTTTTTAAGTGGCCAGAATTACTGGTTTGTAACGGCTACACAACATTCCTGTTATGTCCCGATAACCATAGTGAATGGTAATTTGAGATCCATTTATGCACCAATACTATGCGTATATTTTTTATCGTATAATTGTTAATTAATCAAACTATTCATATGTCTTACCATAACCTATGAGCTGTTATTATACGATTTACCATCCTTGAATTATCCCCTGTCTATTAATCACTCCCTCCCACGTTCACAGCCACATTTGGCTAATTCTTGTACAAATGTTGTTTCACATTTTATGGTACGGTATGGTCTGTCTGGTTGGTATATAAACCCAGTATGTTTGAAATAAACAATTCATACTGTAGAGGCTGAGATTGGAGTTTTGGACTTAACAGGCTGCGCTAGGCGGGAAGCAGGACCAATTAGGACTCTAGACTGCTCGCACGTGTTTTACGCGTTATTGGTCCGATCGATAATTCACTACTCTGATTGGCGGTATCGTTACGTTATACATTAACAGGGCACTCAGGCCACAAGTTATAACAATTTCTTCAATCACATTTCACTTTATTAAATAGATTTCAAGGAAAAACACTGTAAAACATTTTTGGTGTTTAAAGAAATTTTATTATTAATCATTTACCTCTAGGGAAATATTATAAATTGATTTTGCAATGTAGAGGGATTCAACAATATTTACATACATAAGAAAGGAAAATAAAGTTGAAAATGTATTCATTTTATACAAATATCCATGAAACAAAAAGAACTAGATCCAATTTGAACGGAATAAAATTTTAGATGATCAAAACATAATTACTGAACTGAGAAAGTGTGAGAGAGAAAAAAAAGAGACGAAAGTTTCTAGTGAAAGAAAAAATAAAACTATTCAACTTGTTTTTTTGCATAAAGCATAATTAATATAAACTAGGCTGTTCATTTCGTAGTTCGTTCTTATTGTTTTGACAATGTTCTTGAAGAAGTTGTAATATATCTGTTTGAAAATATTTCGGGGCTTCTTTTGCCTCTTTTAAACGATACATGTAAAGAAAATAGAGCAGATGATAATTTAGAAAAGAAATGTAACAGTTTTGAACTATTATATAACTTTAATCCAATTACTAATATACATTACAGATAAAAATTAAAAAGTTGTTTACATCCAATGTATGGATGAGAAAAATAGAGAGAGTTAAGAATATCTCGTAAATATCGAGATCAGCTGTAGAAAAGAGGATTTTAATTAAATAAGATGTATATCATTATTATATGCAGTCTTGAATATCAACAACGCTGTAATTCGAAACCCTTGCTAATAATGATATGAACATCGTACATGTTGAACAAATTAGTCGATTTCTGGACTGAGCAGCCCAGTGGGTAACGTGTTGTTGCTTAAAGTGAAAGGTTCTGGGTTCGAGTCCCAATTCGAACATGAATATTCGGATACAAGTACGTCTAGCTGACGAGAACTAAATGGAATGGAACGCGGATCCTGGATTTCACTCCAGACCACGTTACACCCATTCTAAATAAATGAGGTATAACTTTGAATGACGATAAAATCAGTGCTTGGAAATAAAGTTGGGGGTATTTAATAATAATGCATGAGTGTGACAAAGTATGAATAAGTGCTTGTGATTCTAAATATTTCCTAGTAGAAAATATTTCTCACAAGAGGTGTTAGTCAACTTACCTCAATATCACTGACATGGTGAGTGAGAATTAGGAATAACAGTCTGTTGTTCTCGTCAGTAACTAAAAAAACTTACAAACAATGTGCACAATCGACAATATACCGATAGTCTTTTTCAATGAGAATATAATAGCGCAAAATCGTTACTTTTATCCTCAACCAACACCTTTTTAATTAATTCCAAGCACCATTGAAGTTATGGTTGATGTCTAACAGATTATTTTTAATACAATTGAATTGACCATTAAATATAATGATCAATCAAATAAACAAACACTGTCAGTGTCTGTTGGAATTTACTAATCAGGTAATAAACGCTACAACTCACCCTGCCAGTCACATTTCTGACTTACCTTCTAAAAGAAGTAGATTAGAGTTTAAAAAGAGGGAGCATAAGTCTCATTAACGCTTTGGATACATTTTATTACTTAAATGCTATGAAAAGTGCTAATAACTAAATCAAGTAAAATTAAGACTATTTTTTAGTCGTCTTTTACATAAAATTCTGCTTGGAGCCCTTCTAGTGTTACTGCCAATCTTAAGCTCGAGTAAAGAAAGAAGGCCGGGCATTAGATTAGGAATACCAGCAAGTGCAAAAGAAATCTTGATTACGAGAAAAATGCTGGCCACAAAAATCTGCTTACATAAGAAATTAAATGTATGATAAATAAGAATTTCAAGAAAAACATGACTTACTTGTAATCCAATAGTAAATATCCCATTCATTGTCTGGTAGATTGATTAAACTATCATATGCTATAAGTTGTTCATGAGTCATTGAATTCAGGTATTTAGCAGCGAATGTACTATATGAAAATTACCAAAAAGAATAATTATATTAAAAATCATGAAAAAGTCAAACCATATTAAAACACTAATTATTAGAAATTAATAATTAATACATATATCTATTGATAACATATTGGTTATCTCCTTATATAATACTTGTGATTTATTTTAGCTAATGATAATCTAGTGCGATCAATTCAAGCGTTGAACTGATTGATTATTACACTAATCATTCATAATTACCTTTTGTTGTATTTTGTAAAAGCAGGAAAGTTCAAACTGTAGAAATATAAGTATCGATGGTATTAAAACGGATCAAACGCTGGCTAAACTGAAGCATACAGATTGAGCTTCAAATTCGGAGCCTATTGGATGAAAGCAACTGCTTAACTGTTAAGTCACTGCTCAAAAATTAAGACAATAGTGAGGTGAAGTAAACACAATAAACATGCAGCTTTTAAGGAATCTAAATTACAACAATAGGATCATGTACTTTTCTGTCAGGTTGACTATGAATACAGTGGTCTTGAATGCTGTTAGAGGTATGAAAGTGTTTATCACTTCCCGGTCGCCCACACCGTGGAAGGGTTCTTCTAGAGGTATCTGAAAAGGAAATTGGATTAGAGGTGGTCTTAGTGATCTGAGAGCGTGACCACAGTGCCCAAGGGACATCTGCTTGAGGTCAGTCACACACGATCTTTTTGTAAGTAATTTTCGTGTTAGCTGCGCACCTGTTGATACCTTACCGCCGGAGACGGATATCCGTGGGATAAAGTGAGGTGTGCAGTTTTAGGCTCGACCATTTCTAACCCCAACCCTCCAGCATCGCTGTTATGTTTGTTGTCTGAAGGAAACACATTACTGTTGTCCCACCTTTGTACAGTCAGCAGTACGATTTCGCCTTCGGACCTTGGGCTTGTTGCTCTTAGTCTTACCGCTCTTCAACCGCCCTGCCTGACATGGTAGAACCTTGAGGAACGGTTGTTCCAGCCAGTATAGCTCGGTTGGTTCATTAAGATAGGCAAGCCCGACCACCACCTCAAGGTAGCAACAACGGTCGGGTGCTTTTCTGTCACCATCTACAGATTTCAGAACGTATACGTTACGAGAACACATTTAGAGGATCTTGCGAAATAGGTAACTTACTCATACATTAAATAAAATTTGAAATCGACGAAAGTATGTGTGAACTAATCATACTGTATTGATTAGATTATTTTATTTATTTATTTTAACACATAGATATTGGTACAAGGGGGCACCGAATACATATGCGCCACACAGATCTCATTTGATATGTGTGAGGGCTTTGATACTGCCCGGGTGCCCAAACCTAAAAAATTCTACATATTTATGAATTAAAATATTTTTTTAAACTTCACTTGCCATGGACAGGTTTATATGGTTAGGTTGAGTCACATTTTTTCTAATGGGTAGTGATACTGTCTGGTTTTCCAAATAACCAAGTTCGTTGAACAGGTGGAATTTACAATTTGCTTGTTGAAATTTGAGTGTTTTGAATGTTAAATCACCGCTTTACGTTACTACACTTAAGACTTAAATAAATGCCATTAAGTGAAACAATAGTCTGTGTCGAACCATGTTTATTCGTATATAAAGTAGGATTCTTTTGGGATTTTGTGAAAATTGAACTATAGTGATCGAGATAATCAATGTATTTTGATATTAAAATATTAGGATTCGACTACATTTTCATCAATCATCTATGTCTACCACTAAACATTTAAAATTTTCCAGATCAATGAAAAAAATCCGTTTTGTTTTAGCCAAATGTTTGACTGTAATTACTATCTACCATATTTGAAACAATTAAGATTGCGTTGTGAATGGAACAGTTATAAAAAGTTGAGAGACTCTTCTAATACGTAATGAGCAAAATGGATTACTGATGCACAGCACTTAGACGACAATACGCCAAGCGGTGAAACATAAAAGCTTTGTAAGGATGATATATTGGTCAAGACTATAGAATAATTAATTTACATTCAAGTTAAACCCATTTTATATCGATTAAACTCAATGATTATTAATTGTAAAATTTATAAACTAAATAATAATTACTTAAGCACAAGAATATAGTGAATTTATAAGCAACATTTAAAAATAGCTACTTTCATATTGGTTGATTAAATACAAATGAAAATTCACTACAAGTGAATAGACAGAATTTACAAAAAAAAATAATACAACGAAATTATATTTAAAGTTAACTTTAGCCAATTTGCCAAGTTGAAAATTAACTTTCTTATTTATACGCTGAATTAAGGAATTTCACATCCCTGAAAGATTTTCAAAAGGACAGTTTTTTTCGGTGTAAATTTGACTGAGCACGATTTATTGAATAAAGTTGTTCTAACAAGATGAATATCAATGAAGCTGTAACTTGTGGAACTATCTTATGAAGAATTATTGTTTATATTTTTACCGTAAAATTAGTAAATATTTGGATTATTGTATCTTAATATTTTCTTAACTATAACCCTTTGTTTGGTGCTTAAATTATTGGCATATAATTCCCATCTAAACATTAAAAGCACGAATTTATTATCAGTATATATATGATTAAAGTATTAGTTCCATGAGGATATATGAACAAGGAATAAACATTATAGATTATAATGCTAGATTACGCAATGTGAGTGATAATAATAAGAGATTGTGTGTGTGCAAACAGAAAGCCTTACATAAATTATCGTTCTATTTTGTAAATCTCTCTCAAGTTTCTGTTGACTAATTACAGATCAGTCACTTAATTTCCCTACGGCTTGTGGTGTGATTATGGGTAGATCGTAATGACCTATTTATGTTAATGTAGGCAGGAATTTACTCTACATCAGTGTATGAGTTGGGTCATATAATTGGACGGCTAGACAACAGGGATTTTATCTGCATGTAAATTTAGTCTTCTAATTAGACACTATGTTGGGAATATCCTGACAACTAATGAGATTATAGCCCCAGTTGTTGTTCAGTGGTCACTCGTAAAATAGATCATCAGTCATACAGACACTGAAAGAACTAGTTAGCAGTCAGACTAGACAATACTACTACTTCCATAATAACCACCTGATTACAGAGGTCTCAGAACAATGCAAGAACCTGTTGGTTTTGTAGTTATAACAAAACTAAGAACACAGAGGCTTTCAGGCCGAATCGCAAAAGTGTAAAAGCCAAGTACTGGTTAGTATTTTAATTGTATGCAATAATTATACTTATGCTGACAGATATAAGTAGTATGTAGCAACAATCGGAAGTTAAATGCCTGGCAGCAGAAGATTGACATGAAAAGAAAAGAAAGGAAGTCGTGGAGCGATCGAAATAACAGAATTGGAGGAATAATGGAGTATGCAAACGATAATGCAAAGAAGATATGCAAATGATTTCTTTAATGTATGATTTTCAGATTTTACTAAGCCACTGTGATTCTGCATAAAGTAATAAATTGGTTTTCTCTCACCTGAGTTCGCGTTCAGTACTATTCTATTCACTAATATGATTGACTAGTCTGCTAACAAAAAATACAGTGATCTTGGCCGATTGTTTATGTCGACTTGTTTACTTTCATTGTATAGTCAGACTACACACCAAAAGATTGATATGCATTTATTTTTTTACTTAAAGCACATCTGCTACTACATGACTGTGATAAAATGAATACGCGTGCATAAGTTTACTGGTCCGGTGAAGACGCTATAAGGAAGGATAGTGTGCAAACATAATAAGGTTCCTGTTTACGTGAACCATGATGATTGGGTTGGGTTCAAAATTAACAACTCAGTCGTTAAAATTAATTTAGGACAAGAAACCACAGCTTTATGAAACGACGGTGTTCAACAGATTCACAGCAAGACCAGGAGTGATCTTTTCTGTAAAATGTTTTCCATTTAACAGAAATATAATACAATCGCTGAACTAATAATAAAAACTCTTCATTTGTATGTCTCTTCAACCTAAAGATTTATCATATAGAAACGAAACCAAAGTTAACCCCCTCTCACAAACACCATTATTGCAACCAGGCGTTTTTCAAACTACCTTATTAACGGTGATTTTCCCCGGCTCAGTAAACTCAGCATGACAAAGTGGACATATATTTGATTAGGTGATCGAATACTTTGATTCAACTATTTGCTGACCTTTAGGTACTATTTGTAAATAATAACTGCTTTACAACGCAGCGTTTGATTATTGAAGTTATGCTTTCAACAGATATACTACAAGTAAATGTTTTTTAGACTCTGAGAGATGGTCACTATCCGTAATTGTTTGTAGATTGACTGAATATCTTTCTTCAATAGACATTTTATATGATTCTGTGGGTAAAACAAGCCATCTGACTTGGACAGTTTTATCACTCCGAAGATATTATATTATTGCTCAATACGTGTTGACGAACAACTGATGGCTTTGTTTAACAGAGACAATCGTCAATCATGATCGTATTAAAAAAATAGGTCTCGAAAAATAAGAAACAACATTGGTACACTAACATTTTGGCCTCTAACTTTCAATAGCCAAATTCCTTATATAGTAACAACAGAAGACTATGAGCAAACTGAAAACTTATAGAAATATATATGAATAGAATCAGAATACCTTAACAGAATTCCATTTTCCAAATTTCCACGCTTTCTACTTTGATATAATAAACGAGCTCTGCGAACATCATCTGTTTCTGTGGTAGATACTTGATTTGTAGATCGAAGTTGTACGTCGTCTATAACATTATTCTGGCCAAATGATGATTGAGTGGAAAAGAATGAATATCCAGAATACATTTTTATTTCATATTTAGGTACAGTGATTAATCGACTACTTAACATAATAGGCAATCTTGTAATAATGTGGCATTTTAAATTCATTTTCTTTATGCTAATTAACTCAAACACAAAACCTGTTTAGCGCTGGTTATCTACAAAGAAGTAAACAAAACGTCGTTATTATGTACATATATGTGATAGAAAATCCGAGCTTACTGAATTTTGAACAAAACGAACGACACTTAACACAGATCTAATAACTCTAAATTTGATATTTTACTAGTAATGTTCACGTCATGTTATTTTTTTCTTCACAATACCAGAATGTTCACTGAGAAATGAGCAAATACCAAGTGGATTAAATATCATTTCTAAGGGATGTAGGCAGTGAGACGGTAAATAGACGTCAACTTCATCTTGACGTCAAGAAAGAAGTTAGTGAGTGATATAATGATAGATTACGAACCACCAATATTATCACACACGGTGACTACCATACAGAAGACGATTCGAGTTATCGCTACTTGAAAATATGTACTATCAGCAGACATGAAAAATCTGGACAGCCTGAAAGTGTAGTCAGCAAAACAACTTGCCTCACGACAGCCATCAGAATCTGTGCAGTATATTTGAAATTCCGCTATTTCAATTTTAAGTTTTAATTGATACGTGCTTAGTTTCCATTATTCAGTTGATAACTGTCGTAAAAAAAACTTCATTATTCATAGCAATCATCCCGTACTTTGTAAGTCAAAGATTCACATCACTTCTTGCAATGGTTTATCTCGCAGTTTTGTACCAAATGACACAATCCGGATTCTATAAGAAATAACATATCTTAAGACTTAAACCAAAATTACCAGGGACCGAGTGTTCCATTCAGGTTCTTTAAGGGTGAGTGGTATTCTATTTTCATTAACACCAGCAAAAGTCCGAATACTTCGAAGGAAAAACCTAGGCCTTTTATTTTTGTCCCATATGACTGATCTTTGAATGTCGTGGAATCAAACGATTTTATGCCTACGAATAACTTATAGGATAGTATTCTATATTGACAACAGGAATTATATGCAAACTTTAAAGAATAAGTGATGATCAGGAACGAATAGCAGCAGACGTTTTCTAGTGCAAATAGACGTCAGAAATTATCTTTATGATCACAAATGAAATAGCTATACTTCAGGTAAGTGATCCTTGCAAATCGTGAATTTAATACCTTACAGGCTACTATTACAGAAGCCTGACATGTATCTTCGTGAGTTATTTTATCTTCAATCATAAAGTAGCAATTTTCGAGTGATCAAACCTAAAGCGTAAAAATGACTTACTGAGAAGTTAAAATTATTAACAATCTACAACATCTTAATTAGATTCACTCTAATTTCAAATGAACACGGAATTTTATAACTTCCAGTATTGTTAGATTCATTCCTACGCTACGCGGATCGTCGAAATATCTAAACTTTTGTATGATAACAATATAACTAACATTATTATATTTCTCAGAAAATAGGAATGGACTCAAAGTGAGTTGGGGAATAGCGCATCTCGAGCTCCCAATTTTGAGGAAAATTTGACCCCCTTTAGAAAAACCGCTATAGTAAACTTTGGGGAGACGGCAATAAAATTTCGAAATTCCCCCAAACATTGATGGATGTCATTTGACCTTTGGGAATTTCCACAAAATACTCCAAAATTTGGGAGATTGGGATCAATTGCAGCTGTCATTAGTGACCGACATTTCAGAAAATAAAATACGCTAACAACACGTTGAAACAATTGTTCGAGACTGCGAACATTGTCAGGGTTGTCAAATGCCGTCTATGGAAAAAATCACATAACAGCGTGATATTTTATTTATTGATTTGAAAGTGTTAAATATGTAACATGGAAGTGTGGGGACAATTTACATGGATCAGAATTGAAGCTACATTTCACTTCCTAGTCCTTTTTAGCATAAAAGACAAGGTCTCTACAGATCTACAAATTACCAAGATCACAAAAACCTCCTGACCTTCAAAACACAATTAGCGCTAATGAAATTGAATAATCCAACTGAATAATCAACCAAAATAATGCCACATGTGCCAATTTCTATAACTTTTGCTCCTAAAGAGATATATTACTCTGAGACGCTTTATCTGTCCATAACAACTTGAAATGTTTGCTCCAAATATTTCCGGAGATTTTTATGCCACACCAACCTACTTAGTCTGAACTAAAAACATCTTAATAAACTCAAAGTCAAAACAATTCATCGTGTAAATCTTCGAAAATAATAAGAATCCAGCGATTGGAATTTTTCTTTTTGACTGAATCATTTACTCAGTTTATATATATATATATATATATATATATATATATATATATATATATATATATATATATATATATATATATATATATATATATATATATATATATCTGTGATTACTTACTTCTTTACGCCTGTTACTTCCAATGGAGCATAGGCCGCCGACCAGCACTCTCCAACCCACTCTGTCCTGGGCCTTCTTTTCTAGTTCCATCAAATTCTTATTCATTTTTCTCATGTCTAATTCCATTTCCCTGCATAATGTGTTCTTTGGTATTCCTCTCCTCCTTTGGCCTTGAGGATTCTATGTGAGGGCTTGTCTTGTAACGCAGTTGGCTGCTTTCCTCAATGTGTGTCATATCCACTTCCAGCGCTTCTTCCTGATTTCTTCCTCCGCTGGGATCTGGTTTGTTCTCTCCCACAGTCCGTTGTTGCTAATAGTGTCCGGCCAACGGATCCGAAGTATTTTGCGTAGACGACTGTTAATAAACACCTGTATCTTCTGGATGATGGCTTTTGTAGTTCTCCAGGTTTCAGCCTCATACAGGATAACTGTCTTGACATTTGTATTAAAAATCCTGACCTTGGTGTTGGTTGACAGTTGTTTTGAGTTCCAGATGTTCCTCAGTTGTAAATATGCTGCTCTTGCTTTGCCGATCAGCGCCTTCACATCTGCTTCAGACCCACCGTGATCATCAATGATGCTGCCCAAATATGTAAAGGTTTTTACATCTTCCAAATCGTCTCCGTCAATTGTGATTGGATTGGTGCATGCTGTGTTGTGTCGGAGAACCTTGCTCTTCCCTTTGTGTACATTGAGACCTACTGCTGCTGAGGCTGCTGCTACACTGGTTATTTTCTACTGCATTTGTTGTTACGTTTGCGATAGAAAGGCCAGATCATCTGCGAAGTCTAGATCGTCCAATTGCATCATAGATCTCCACTGTATCCTGCGTTTCCTTCCAGATGTTGAGGTCTTCATGATCCACCAGGAGAAAGTGAAAGGGTGAGGGTAAGCAACCTTGCCGGACACCGGTCTTCACTACGAACGACTTTGTCAACTGTCCTCAATGCACGATTTTGCAGTGTAATCCATCATATGAACTCTGTATGATATTGACTATCTTCAGAGGCACGCCGTGGTGTCGATGAAACTTCCATAGTGTTGTCCTGTTCACGCTTTCAAATGCTTTTTCGTAGTCAATGAAGTTGATGTAGAGTGATGAATTCCATTCAATTGATTGTTCCACAATGATCCGTAGAGTTGCGATTTCGTCTGTACACGATCTATCCTTACGGAATCCTACCTGTTGGTCACGAAGTTGGGCATCTACGCAGTCCTTCATCCTGTTTAAAAATACCCTGTTGAAGACTTTTCCTGGTATTGAGAGAAGAGTGTTGCTACTGTAGTTATCACAGTTGCTGAGATCGCCTTTCTTCGGTATTTTGATCAGAAGTCCTTCTTTCCAGTCTGTTGGTACTTGTTCCTCATCCCAAATCTTATTGAAAAGAATGTGGAGTATCCTTGCAGTTGCCGCTACGTCTGCTTTCAGTGCCTTTGCTGGAATGTTATCCGGTCCTACTGCTTTGTCACTCTTGATTTATCTGATGGTCATGCTGATTTCTTCAATTGTTGGTGGGCCAACGTTGGGAGGTCCTTGGGTGCTGCTTTGATGTTGGGTGGGTTCAGTGGGGCTGGTCGATTCAAGAGTTCTTTGAAGTGTTCTACACACCTGTTTCGTTGTTTTTCAGTGTTGGTGATTACCTCGCCTGCCTTGCTTTTCACTGGTCGTTCTGGTTTGAGACGATTTCCAGAGAGTTTCTTTGTCGTGTCATACAGTTGTCTCATGTTCCGTTCTCTTGCAGCCTTTTCCGCCATCGTTGCTAAATCTTCCACATATTTACGTTTGTCGGTTCTGATGCTCCTTTTCACTTGTTTGTTTACTTCTGTGTATTCAGCTTGAGCTAGGCTTTTTCTGATCTAGTTCGACTGGTATTGATTGCTTCTTTCTTATTCCTCCTTTCTTGAATCTTATCCAGTGTATCAACAGTGATCCATTCCTTGTGATGGTGCTTCTTGTGACCCAGGACCTCATGACATATTAAAGTGATTGCCTCTTTGATCCCTTTCCAGTTGCTCTCCACAGTAGTTCCTTCTCCATTGAGTAGATCATGAAAGGCCTGAAACTTATTGCTTAGGACTATCTTGAATTCGTTGAGTTTGTTAGTATCCTGAAGAAAGACCGTATTGAACTTTTGTGATATTGTCCGTCCTATTTTCCAGTGCTTCTTGAGTTTCAATTTCATCTTGGCGACCAGCGAGTGATGATCTGATGCTATATCAGCTCCTCTCTTGGTTCTCACGTCCTCTATAGTCCTCCTGAACGTTTTGTTGATGCAAATATGGTCGATTTGGTTTTGAGTGGTGTGATCCGTTGAAGTCCATGTGGTTTTGTGAATGCGCTTATATGGGAATATGAAGCCGCCTATGACCAGTTTATTGAAGGCACATAGGTTTAAAAATCTCTCACCATTTTCGTTTCTTTCTCCCAGTCCGTGTCGTCCCATGATGTTTTCATATCCAGTGTTGTCCGTTCCAACCTTAGCATTGAAATCTCCCATCAGAATGGTCAGGTCTTTTGTTGGGCACTTCTGGATGATTGACTGCAGCCTATTGTAGAATTGATCTTTAACGTCTTCATTGTAATCGTTGGTAGGCACATAGCATTGGATGACGTTCATTGAAATGCCCTCTTTCTTTGTTTTGAAGGAGGCTTTGATGATCCTTGGTCCATGAGACTCCCACCCTATAAATGCCTTTTGTGCTTGTTTGGACAGTATCAATGCAACTCCTTGTGTATGTGGAGCATTTTCTTCTTCATGGCCGGAGTATAACAGAAGCTCTCCTGCAGCTAGTCGTTGTTGTCCAACTTGCGTCCAATGTGTTTCACTGATCCCAAACACCTCCAGGTTGTATCTTCTCATTTCTGCAGCAATTTGGAAGACTCTTCCGGTGTCCCACATTGTACAAACACTCCATGTACCTAAATAAATGGTCTCTCTGGTTGTCAGAAGGGGCATCGGCCTCGTAACTTCCGAAGGAATTCGGCTTTCATCATGAGGCGTCATAGTTCTTCTAAATGAAGACCTTCTGACTCCCGGAGCAGAGTTTAAAAGGTTTGAATAATTTTTTCTGGTTAGCGTTTTTTAGCGAGTTAGTTTTCTACGGGATGGGGACTTTAACCTCATGTTCAACCCTCCTCCTTTATCCGACTCCGGCGGTAGCCCCCAAAGGAACTCCAAGCAGAGTTGTATATACATGTACTTTACATTTATTAAGATAGAAGTGTAGAAATGAAAAAATAATCATCGATACGAATCCCACCCCTGTACAACATCCAGAAAAAGCATGATCAGTTCAGAAAACACCTTCCTATGAATATCGAATTCAATGTTGATGTTAATTTAATTGCTTATCTACGACTTTCACCCCTTGTAAGGGAGCATAAGACGCTCATCAGCATTCTCCATTCACCTCCGTCATGGGCAATCCTTTGCAGTTTTTTCCAGTTGTTATTAATCTTTCTGATACATGTTTTCTACTCTCGGAGAAACATGCTCTTTGTCTTTCGTGTTTTCCATTCCTCGTCAGAATTCTATGTGAGAGCTTGCCTCGAAATAGAGTTTGATGATTTCTTTAGTATTTACTTAGTTTTTTTCCTAATCTCCTCCTCATCTGGAACCTGTTTTGATCTCCCATAATAGGCTGTTGCTGATGGTATCCGGCGAATGGATGTTCAGTACTTTGCGTAGACATTTATTCATAAATATTTGTAGTCTCATGATGATGGATGCAGTAGTTCTCTTTGTTTCATCTCCGTACGGTGGAACTTATTGAAGATTCTGACTTCGATAATGGCTTCCAGTCAGTTGTTTTGAGTATGAGATGCTCTTCAATTGTAGGAATGCCGTCCTTGTTTTGCCAATCCTCGACTTCACGTCTGCATCCGATCGTCATTTTCCAAAGATAATTCTTATCAGGTACGTGAATGTTTACGCCTCTGCCATAGTTTCTCCATCAAGTGTGATCAGCTTGGTTCTCTCTGTGTTGGATTTGAAGATGTTGCCGTTTTCATTGTGAATTTTGGAGTTTATCGATGCAGATTCTTCTGCTACACTAGTTGTTTTCATCTGTATTTGTTCGTGTGTACGGGATAGGAGGACTAGGTTATCTGCGAGGTCCAAATCGTGTAATTGGTTCTGAGCTGTCCATTGTATTACGTGTTTTTCTTCAGATGTCGATGTCGTCATTATCTCGTCAACCCCCAGAAGAACGATAAAGTGGGAGAGTAGACAGTCTTTTCTGACTTCCTTCATTACTTAAAATGCGTCAATCAGCTGTCCTCCATGAACGACCTTGCACTGTAGTCCGTCGTACGAGTTCCGGATGATGTTGGTAACTTTCTTAGGAACTCCATAGTGTCGAAAACGCCGGATCTCCAAAAAAGGGGAGGTGTTGGGATATTCAGGAAAATATCCCAGAAATTATCCTATTAAGTCTAATGCTATTCTTGGACTTGGACATGGTATGATTTTCTTATTGGTCAGTACATATTTCATGTGTTATTTTCCTACTGGTCAATATTGTACAATGTTATTTTCTATTTTATGGTACTTTGTGGTCGGATTGACTGGTATATAAACAAAGTATGTTTGAAATATAATAATTCATATATCCGATGCTGTGACTTGCGTTCTGGACTCAACTGCTGGGCTAGACAGGGAGGCCGGGCCAATCAGAACCCTAGGTCGTTCTACATGTTTGCGCGTCTTTGGTCCGATCGATAATTCGCTACCCTCAAATCTGCCGTCACAGTTATAGCAATAACCCTCCTTACCTCACTGTCAAATGCTTTATCATTGTCCATGGAGTTGATGTATTGACGAATTGTATTCATTTGACTGCTCAACGATTATATATAGTGTCGTGCGTTGTCGAGAGAATCATCATGAATTGGTTGAGTATGATAGTATGTTGAAGAGGGCAGGATTAGGCCTCTATAATTCTGCTTGTAAAGTTTTTTACTACCTCTTTAGCTTTAGTTTAATCTTAACCACAACCAGGTGGTGATTCGGAAACATATTAGCTCCTCTTTGAATTCTCAAGTCTTCCATGAATCTTGTGTCGGTCTGGTTCTCCGTGGCTTGGTCCGGTGGGGTCTATGTAGCTTTGTGTAGGAATATTATGCAGCTCATAACCAATTTGCTGAATGCCATGGATCGGTAAATCTCTCACCAGTGTCGTTTCTCTCTCCTAGTCCATGTCGTTTCATGATATATTCATACCTGGCGTCGTCCATTCCGAATTTGGCATTTGAGACACCCTCAGGTTAGTAAGTTCATTTCCTGGGCATTTCGCTAGGATTCATTACAGCTTATTGTGTAATTGACCATCATCATCGTCATTCCTATCATTAAGGAGAACCGCATAACACTGTATCATATTCACAGTCATTTTATTTTTCTTTGTATTGAAGGATGCCTTGAAGGTTCAGGATCCATGAGATTGTAGCGGTAAATAAATCCCCAAAATAAATAGCTCTATAAGTTTTTGACATTAGTTTTGATGGACTCATTTAGCTGAAGACGCCTGGTCATGTATCCGCACCAGATAACGAGTAGGAACGGCGTACTCAACAAACCCTGCAATCGCTATTCAGATGAGATCAGACAATCCTCGATATCTAGTAGAAGAGTTGTGGAGATTACTAGGTTTTTGATTGAGATCATGAACCAATTGATGTTAGACCATCACAATTGAAAACCTGGAAGCACTAGACGGCCGTTTCGTCCTATTGTGGGACTCCTCAACAGTGCGCATCCACGATCCCGCGAGCGGGATTCGAACCCAGGGCCTTCGGTCTAGCGCGCGAACGCTTAACCAACTGGACCACTGAGCCGGCAAGTGCTCTTTAGTGACTAGCTTCGTGAGGGAATTCTCGGAGTTCTAGTCAGAGGCCGTGACCAGTGGATCTAATCCTTGTCGGGTAGAGATAGTTATCTACCTCAGTACAATGGAAGTTGGTCACGCAATTTCGTGGATTGGTTCATGCTAGAAACTATAACCATTGGATGCCGGCTCAGTGGTCAAGTTGGTTAAGCGTTCGCGCGCCAAAGCGAAGGCTCTGGATTCGAATCCCGCTCGCGGGATCGTGGATGCGCACTGCTGAAGAGTCCCACAATAGGACGAAACGGCCGTCCAGTGCTTCCAGGTTTTCAATTGTGATGGTCTAACATCAATTGGTTCTTGATCTCGATCCTCGATATATTGATAGTCTATCAAATATATCTTTGAATCTCCTTGCTTCTGTCTTTTGATTTAACTTGGTGGGTTTGCTCCATATTAGAAGGTGTTACTGGTTAAAGCGTCGTCTAACTCCGAATACCTGTGGCTTTTTCAAAGTTCCTGCCCAAATAAGTGCATTTAGTGCTTGTTTGTAGAACGACAGAGCAAATCCATGGGTGTTTGTTTGTGTCGAGAGTACAACAGCATCAGTCCAACTCACTGATCTCGAAAACGCCGGATTGTATCTCCGCGACTCTGTTGATAGTTGTCTGGTACTCACGGTCTCCTACATTTTCCGGACGTTCCATATACCTATAAAAATTGTTGCCCTGGTTGTTAGAAGAGGCTTCGATCTCGTGACTTCATCGTTCATTATTCAACTGCCAAGACAGCGTTTAAATTGTTTAATTTTCTGTTCCTGTTAGCGCTTGTTTTTCGAATTTTTTCTCTACAAGATGAGGTTACCTAGTGAATGCTCAATCTCCGTCTTTTTTTACCGTGCTTGGGACCGAAAGTAGCCTTAGAAGAACTACAGGTGAAGTTTAAAGGAGAAACGTTTGCTGGAATTTTGAATAAACGGATTTTGAAGTACTTAAATAGAAAGTTCTGTTCAGCATTATTTCATATTGTTATCTTAATCTGATCTTCTGTTGACGGATGTTTTGAGGGCAATCTTCCGCATTGAGCCACATCAATATCCACCTAGAGTTTTACTGTCTATCGTGGGTTACTTTACATTGGCAGCAGAAAGCATTCAGTTCCTAAATGCATTTGAGCACGCAACACGGTGAGGACTTTAAAGTATGAGTGCATAACAGTTATCAGTTCAATATGTGGGCATCTAATAAACTCTGATCATGTCGCTTTGGAAGATTTTACTTTAAAATAATCCACACAATCAAAGGAACTGGACCAGGAATGTTCAAATCAAAACCTATGAACTGTTGAGACATTGGAGATCCATGAATTCAAGTCTGAGATCTGAGTGCAAAAACGATGTGTCCAAACTCTTATCCTTCCTTGGCACTGATTCCCTTCAATAGTGCGTTTTTTCATATATTTCTTTTAAAATTAATGACTTGTAAATTTTGAATAGTAATCATTTATTATCATCCCTTAACAGTTTTCTATGAATATTATTGTGATCATTTTGACCCTTAGATTTTTCGCTTCTCTTTGTATCTGTGAAGTAGACAGTTATCTGTCATAATTCTGACTCACAAATTATCTTCATCCACATGTTCTCAAATCCACTGATTATTACTTAACCTAATTTAATTTTTAGTTTCGAATCAGTTCATGATGCAATTATAAATGATACGGTTATAAATACGAATGTACAGCTCAAGCAAGTGATTTGGTTGAGAAGAAATTTTTCGTTGAATTCTTTTGATTTGATTTTGACATATCATTTATTGTACACTGAAGGTTTCGTTTTCGGCGAAGAGCGTTTTATAATTTGAGACTCAACATTTCAAGGTGATCTACTTGCAGATGCACTACGTTCGGCTAAAAGCGCCGAAGAACGACAAGGTATCTAGTGTAATTTATAAGTTTTAAACTATTGGAACTTATGCTCTTTTTAGAAGAGTTTCTCGTTTTTGGTTTCACTGTCATCCGATTGGTGATCTGAATGTTATAACTTACTCTGTAACTAAATTTTTACCAGAAGGTTAAAAATATCTGAGTGATTAAAATGAAATTGGAGTCCATGTCACTTGGAATTCGATGTACACGGCTATCGCCTGTTCTTTATAAAATCCCCAAAGCTATGTGTTGATATAAGTACTGTTGGGTCTCACTTTAGTCTAAATTACATGGCTCCACTTGGTCCAAAGCAATAATGTTCAGCCTACATATTAATTGCTGATTGGGTCTTTTTATTCGGAATTTGGTTTGTAAACTCAGTGTTCAAGTTCGTAATACACATTCAATCAATTTTTTGGTAAATAATTATGTATAACCACATACAATTTAGTTATTGCTCCTGGAATAACTGAAAGTAAATAGAAAGCAATTTTTCTTGGTTTTGGCAACGTTTCGTCTCCACCTACTGAACGTTCTTCCCCATTCTCTGTATGTTTGACACCACAAAATTGTTGACTGGCTTTCCCATATGTTACTATTGAAGGCCTCGTAGCGTAATGTCAAAACTAAGAGTGAGATATTTATTTGTGGACAACCTTTGAGTGACACCAAAGTAATCTTTAGAATGTCCACCTACTAACTAGGACTAAATGATGGTTATAAATCAGTGTGAGGAATTAGAATTATGATTTTTGAAGTTGAAGGTTAGAGTTAAGAATTGGATTTAGGATTTTTATCAATGATGTCATCAGTCAATATGCAAAAAAATGCTTTTTAGGCAAATGGATGAATGGATTTCGCTCTAAGACCTTAGGCGTGTTATCCTGAATTTGATTGGGTCGTCCATAAATTATAGTCGCGCCGGTAATTTTTTTGTAAAAATGTTTCACTCATACGTTGTAATCAAATAGTTTAACACCGATGTATTTGTGATCCTCACATGCCTTACGTTAGTGTCTGGTAACACTGAGGCAGAGTTATCGATTACTCGTTTAGATTTCGTTAACTTGCACCATCTTTAGTATGGGTTAACAATCTGATTGCTCACTATAAATCCGAAAGATTACTCAAAAATTCATATTTTACCACTTAGCTGCTTTCATATTGCCTTATACTATAAGCTTCACGTGTAAGGTACAAATATTCTACCATAGTTATATTGCAAAACTAGTCAATTTGAAGCAATGTACACTGGCAAAAGTTTCCATAAACCATACTTAGTTCATACTACAGCTTCTACATTTTAGACAAACCTACCGTTCTCGACTTGTTCTTTAAGTAATTCAAGCTTACTAATGCTCCTTTCTAGCTTTCTTGTGACACGACAGTCGGTAAATTTATGGTTTAATATTGACTGATCCTCATTTAATTATGTTGATTTTCACTTTTAGGTAATCATATTGTTCGCCTTTATGTTTCATGATATTAAATGAATAAAACTCAAGAAAGGTATCATTCATTGTTGAAAATAACTATTCTTTGGATTTTGTTTTCGTATAGTGTCATTTTTGGACTTCACTTTTCTATCCAGTTTATCAAATATCTTTGTAGACAGTTAAAAAGAGAATTTCTTACCCCACTAATTTTTTTGCTCCTACTAATAATTGTTACTGGTTTTTGTAAGTGTAGAAAAAAAACAAAAATAACAATAATCAACTTGTTTTCGACAGATGAATATTCTGCCTATCAAATCGGATTGATATCCTCCAACTTCTTTGATGCTTTGACAACCAAAAATTATGACAGATTTATATGGACTTTAAAATTATCAATAATGTATATATTTTGCGGCTCTTTGGTAAGTTATATCTAGCGCTGTTATACTGATTATTATGATTTTCTTTTACATGGCATTCACTATAGTAATTGAAACTTCACAGAATTAATCAATATAGTATTTGATGTAGTAGTGCTTCAAGTTTACTAAGTACAACGTACAATATCGTGGTTTGAAAAATGGCTCAAAGGATAAAAGTGACATGAAAAGTGACATAGGTAACTTAGTAATACTGTCTTTTGCAGTAGGGCTAGATAAAATCGATTTACCTATTGAAGCCGTTTATAAATTTTTATGACAATTTTGTCATTGTGATAAATATTAATATATACACAAATGTCCACAACGACCTTTTCTATTGATCGACACCCCAAATCGAAATCCGATACCACTCTAAATGTATAGGTTAGTACTCAGTAGATTGGAGATATGATTATCAAAATTTAGTAAATAGCTAACGAGTATAGTTTTGAGACGGGTCAATTTTTAACCATTTTGCTTCTAAATATCAAACTATTAATTAACGAATGCATGATTTTCCACAGAGCTCGAGTTGTTAATATGAATAACACTGTCTTGTTAATTTAAAGCCTTATCTACGTTAACTCTTCCGTCAAAGCATGGTTGACAATGTGCAGGATTATAAACGTGTTGATCTATTTTTAATTTGGAAGTTATTTCGTGCTTGACTGAAGTTTTGAAATTGTTAGTTATCGAATAATCACAGGTTTCTCACTTTTGCCGTCACATTTAATATCGTCCTAAAAACCTGGACATAGTTTGCTTGACATAAGATATTACTAAAACAGATATCTATTATTTCTCGGTCTGATAAAGTAATTACTAAGTCAACTTTTCTACTTTTCACGGTGATCATTGCTGACATTGAATTTAAAAAATTTGCGTTTTTGTTCTGCATTTAGGCTCTAGGTGTACAAAATATGGTTGTGGGACAGTTATCGTTAATATTACGTGAAATTTTAACCAAGAATTTACAAAATCTATATTTTAAACGGAAAAATTACTATGTTGTAAATACTCTTACTGATTTAGACAACCCGTAAGTTTGTGTCTTACCCTCTCGTTGTTTTTAACTTGATTGATCATTAAAATATTTCCTTATAGTGATCAACGTCTTACTCAAGATATCAATTTAGCTTGTGACCTCCTGACCAATATAATTGTATCAATAACTGTAAATCCAATATTAGTCGTATTCTATACGTATCTATGTGTACAAAAGTAATGTATTTTGATTTCCCAGTTAATATGTTTTATTCCAGAGCTGGTTGGTTAGGTCCAGTCTCAGCTTATATCCTATTCATTATATTTGCAACAATTTCGCGATTCCTCGCCTCTTGGAGTTCGCGTGCTTCATTTGAACGTCAGAAACAAGAAGGCAATTTTAGGTAATTGTTAATTTTAAGTATCCTCTCATTTTTTGTATTTAGTATTTAAAAGCTGTTTTCAAAGTTTACCTGAAGTTTACATTATAATTTAGCGGAAATAACAATGGATATATGACATTCTAAGTCAATAAATATTATATCGACCAGATAAGCATAACAATTAACCTTCAATTTATCAAGAGAACAATTTATTCGGAATGCATTTCAGCCCCTCTAAATGCAAATTGCTGCTTCACTACTGGCCTGTGTCAACACCTGAACTAAGGATAAGGGGTGAAGTAGTCAAACGCGTTGACAATTTCACTTAGCTTAGAAGTCTTGTCAGCCCTAATCGGTCGTTGTATGACAAAATCTCTGCTCATTTGGCTTTTGTTAACCTACGTAACCTATGGTGAAGGCGAAATACCCGTCTATCAATTAATGAACGGATGTACTGCGTGGCAGTTCACTCTGTTCTAATTTACGGCTGTGAAACGTGGTCGTTAAGAGTTGAAGATACTCGTAAGCTACTAGTATTTGACTTCAAATACCTTAGAAATATTTCTGACATCTGCTGGGATCACCGGGTAAGTAGTAGTGAGGTTAGACACAGGGTTTAGGGAATAATGGTAAATCGACTGAGATGGTTGAGCCACGTGTTACATATGCCTGAACACTGATTACCACGACGTGCGATGCTGACTGATATTAGTGATTGTTGAAGTTTAGGGGCGGCCAAACCAAAACGTGGCACCAGTGAATGTGGTCACTAACCTCTGGTTTGAGCCATATTAGCAGATGCAGACTACTTGGTTGGGGTCTGTGGGACTTTCGTCACCAGTGATTGGAGATTCTCGTTGATATGAATGAGAATCGATCACAATGGCTTGAGTGTATGCACTCTATTTCTTTCCTTTCATTGTGAGATTAAAGTTACTTTGTAACTTTCCTTCTACGAATTAGTTCTTTCTCTCTGTATTATATCCTTATATGCACTCTTTTTTACATATTACTATCATTGTGGTAACTACTTGTAAGAATTTGGTGTTCATCTTGATGTAGTAACAAGGTACAGCAACTTAAACCAATGCGTATATGCATATATGTGCCTGATCCTAAGTTGTAGCTGACTGAATAAATTTGTTCCCTTAATTTTGTCGGGAATTTCCTGCTTTATTATATCAGTATGAAGTGCAGATGCATCTCCATTTTTGTTTTTCACCAAGTCTTGGCTACATTTTCGTTTCCTATTCATTTATTTTCTAGTTTTTGTTAATGTCATTTAAGTTCCTTTCAACATAATAATTTTTTCAGTTCCTTATTATTATTATTTTTGCTTCATTATTCAAACTAAAATCAAGATAATATAGCACTAGGTTCTAGATTTATGTAGTAAGCGAATGCTTACTGTAATCAATGCATCTCATAAGAAGTCGCTATTTTTCCAAATTTGCATAGCAGCAGTATGATGTGAAATAATAATAATAACGATTATCTACCAAGTTTCATAGAACATTTGAACAATTTTTCTCACTCACTTGTAATGTACATAGTAGAGTTACACATTATCGTCAATTTATATCGTATTGTACTGTTTGACGGTCCTAAATATAGACTTACTGTAATACGTTATCAAATTTATTGTTACTGATAACTAAAAGGAAATAAGAAGTCATTACTCAATTGAGTAAAAGTCGTAAGAAATGACATATTTACCAGTCAGAAGTAATTATTTGACGAGGGGACTTTAAAACGTATCTTTAAAACTACAGATGAGCTAAGGACATTGAACATAAGCGTGTAAATTTGTACAATGTAAACATAAATTACATTAGAACTTCCTTAAACGTGATATTCATAAAGCGTTTTTCTTTAAACTAGAAGCAATAGCTAGTGATCTGAGCATTTACTATTCTTGATGTTGGATTTAAAAATAAGTAGTATACGCAAAACTCAGGAACTCCTCAAGACTGTCTTAAATCTAAGGCTCGATTTCAACAGTCATATTTTTCTCTGAATTTCTTTGAAAAAGCTAATTCAGTCGATCTTTTTTACTCATTGGGATATAACAAAAATATATTTATTATCAGTCGATTGTTTTTGAAAAAGTCAATAACTGGAGTGGATGAGTTATATGATGTGTATGTCAACATTCTACATCGAGAAACTATTCTGGCTTATACTGAATTGTTTTAAAAAATAAACTAACAGTGGCCATACGAGAACATGGTTCATGAAATTATTTAATTATGTACGAAGGTCTACATGCAAACACTTGTCAGTGTTACAAAAAGTGATTAACTCCAGAACCTGGAAGATGTGTTTAAAAGTCATTCACGCTGGCATGAATTAAACCACTTCCTATCTAGTGGACTTGAAAATTTTTGTTGTGTATCACTTATTTTCGTTTTTTATCATCTCTCTCCACCCCTATCCTTCATGTCTTGTTTTGTTGTCTTTTCGATTTTGTTAAATCTCTATCCTTCTGCAGCAGTTATTAAATAGAAACTCGAATAGACTTTTTTTCAATGCTCTACATTGACATACTTCAATGCAGTTATTTGTTGGTAGATTCGAGTTCTAGGTGAAAGCTATTGTCGTATTTACCAGTTTTTCAGATTATTGATTAGGACCTGATTACTCTTTGTCCCATTTTTTGTTTGCTTCAAGCCGTTTTTGTAAATCAAAATGAAGCAAAATATATTGTAAATTTATTTTGCCACGTTTTTTCTTGGGTTTTTCTTCTTTCTCTTTTTGTAATTTACCGTCAGTTGTTTCTTCACTTTTTATTTTCAGGTTTTTTCATACAAAACTAAGATGCTCAGTCGAAAGTGCTGCATTTCTTGATTTGAGTGAATCATTAAATGCCATTTCAACGAATTCATTCAATCGGTTATTTCATGCTGTACGAGTTTTTATTAATCGTAATGCTGTAGTATTTTGTAAGTTATATATATGTATGCATTCATCACTTCTGTAAGCTAGGTAGTTTGATCTTGAAGTTTTTATTGTGTATCTAGGCAACAGTTTTTGATATAACCAACTGTTTATTTTATCGACCTTGAGTTCGCTTGAATGTTGTTAATGCTTGTCCTTTCATTATACGGATATTTATTTTCATTTTTTTAATCCTTTGACTTGATTCTCGCTGATGTATCTGAGGATGAAATTATGAATGATTAAAAAACTGGACAGATTGCAATAAAAATTATATTGGACAAATTGGCATACCTTCCTTATCTCCATCTGAATGAACTCCGATTAGCTGTAAAACACCACAAAGTATCCTGAATCCTCCTTGTCTCTTTTTTTCTCTTTCCAACTTTATTTCACTAAATTATACTCTTTAAATAACATCCTCAAACCCTAATCTTTCCGATTACTGCTTATACTCTTACCACCTCTATCACTACGGGATTTAAATCGACAACTGCATCTCTATGCTAATGTGGTGTTGCAACTCGAACTGATGTACGTACGTACGAAGTTCTACGTTGTTGCTGACTGACTGATCACAAAGTATCCGCTTATATCAATACACAATCAATTCTAGGCGCATGTTCGACTAAGAAGGTATTGAAATCTTGCATAGAGAGACCTGGGGAATTTTAGAGGCTTGGCACCGTGTATATCAGCAACCAGTAGATTTATCGAAATCGGTTCAGTTTATCAATTAATCCAAAAAAACCCTCAAGTAATAAAACGGTTAAGAGTCAGGCAGTTAGGGTAAAGACAATGGAAATAAACATTCAGATAATAACTACACAACTGTTGACAACAAACAATCATCTTCAGGGTGGACTAATAAGATGTTCGTTATATGTAGAAAATTTTGAATAGTGCACTTCTATCTGGAGTTTATCCTGGCGATGAATACTTGACGATTAAACTATCCAGCTTTGATAACCCAATTCTACCGAAAAGTGAGCGATATGCTCACCAGACCGGTTTGCTGAACTTTATACGCATAAGCATTGGTTTAATAAAATTTAGTTTAAAATGATAGACAGAAAGTATGTAGCGTTTTGTTTCATTTGTGTAGCATCCCTGCAAATTCCTATAATATCTGTTTTGAACATAGAATTGTCTTTAACTATTGTTTTAGCCAGTAAACCAAACTAATAAATTAGAAAGACTGTAGTTTGTGCTTTGTGTTTTGTTAAAATATAATAAATATACGAATCAGATACTATAAGTTAATTAATTTCCAGTCCTAGTTTTTCGTTGTTAATCTGAGATTATCACTTTAGTTCCACAGTATTATATGGTAATGAAGCTATGTAATTTCGAAGTTCTTAAAAACACTTCCAGACTGAAGCGGAGTTTCTCGTCGAATTCTTGAAACATATTCACCAAAGAATATGTTGCGCATATTTGTTTTTCTATGCTATCTGTTGTTGTTTATATTCATATTTCTGACCAGATGTAACACAACTTAATGCATATTGTGGTGGTGTAGTAAATTATGTCGCTCTTGGAATCATTCTGTTCAATGGTCCAATTCGAACAATGTCAGCATCTGAAATCACTGTTCTTATTAGTCAGGTAAATAAGTATCAAATAATTCGTTATGTGTATACAAATTTTAGTTTTCGTTGTTGCTGATGTTGCTACTTGAATTTTTTTCTTGACAATCCACATCTTGTAAATTCTCACACTTAATCCCCTGTTGATTTTACTGTGTGGTATCATCGAATTTGTCTGGTATGTAGTTTATGGCTATGGTTAGTTGAGTATGATATCTATATATGTATGTATAGACAAGTTAGATAAATGTTCTTACCTTACTATCACGCCTCTGTATTATCGAATGATAAGTTTTGTTGAATTCAGTTCGTTCGAAAGTGGGAAACGTAAACAGGTAATAGTATCACGGGTTCACAAAATCCAGTAAATAAAAATAACAATGACGATTGTCTTATTATCTAGTTCTTAATGCTAATCGAACTCTATTTGTTCACCTTTACAATGTGGCCATTAAGCTAACTGAATCGACATTTCTGTGTTCTTTGTCTGATATTCGATATTTGGAGGCAATTAGTAAAATAATCCGGAATATTGGTTTCTTACTAGTTGGGGACCACAATATTTGGGTGGTAAAGTTGTCTTTGACCGCCGCACTAGACGATTAAAATTCGAATCTCCAGAAAGTTATCATCAATTCTTGTTAATGAGTGCTAACCACTAAGAAACGGACCTAGTAGTCCCTTTCCTCAGCAACCATCTGACAGAAAAGGAAACACACCAGGATAGTAATTTTGCGCTACACAAGTCAAGCACTTAATTCAATTTTTTAGTATGTTCTCGGGGAAGAAAGTTTAATTTCGAAATTAATGATCTATTTCGGTGGAATTCCGAAGTCTTCATTAATCATGGAGCCAAGTTACTAAAAGGTTCATATGATACTTCTGTCACATTTCTTTCTGACGAGAAACACTTGATTATTGTTGGCTGATTGGTGGATTAAAAAACCTTTGTTCCTGATTTTTCTGTCTAGTTGGTGTGTCGTAAATTTCATAGTCAATATGTGGTGGATAAATTCCATAGATAGATCAACGAGAAACGCAAAAAATTAATCTAATATTGTTAAGTATTTCTAAAGACTAAGTATTTAGATTGAAATTCAACAAATATTTAGTTATTTATCTAGATCTCAAGTTCGGGAACAAAACGCTAATCTATGGACTCAATCACGTAATTATTGAGGCAGTAACTCAAAAATGTCATTACGTATAAAAAGTCAATTGAAGTTGGAATTTCGCATCATTAAGTTTCAGTTCAGTCATACCGTGTTTACCTGGACATATGTCCTGGATTTAACCCTGTTTACTAGGTACACATTGTTTATGAGTTTTAAAATTAAATAAGATTGCAACTTAGTGACTTTTCCTTCATTTAAAAATTATTTCTCAACGAATATTACTTCGATTTTTGGTGGCTCAGTTGTTACGATACTCAAATTACAACCACTAGGCCACAGTTTAAAATCCGGCTCTACCTATTTTAGTCTAGACAGTCGAGTATTAACACTAGCCCTTATACTTCAAGAATGGCTCAAAATTAAAGATGAAAATATATATACCTATCAATTGAGTTTTGAAAATGTTCGCTGCAAAATTATGAATGCAGTTTACAAACAAATCTATTCTATTATGTGGTTTGATGTAGTTGGGAGAAGAACCTAAACCTATATTTTGTCCATATCTAAACTAGTCATGCTAGTTATTGTCTAAAAATAATGATTATTTTTATGTTATAATTTTTTTCCTATGGAAGTAAATATTAAAGTAGTATCTTTTTGTTCTTTTTCCTTATTTTCTCTAATACACACATAATTCTAGACTAGTTTCTTTCTTCTTTATTTAATTAATAAATTAACAAATTTAATTAATTTATCTACTGATATTGCTCAATTAGTTGGTGTTGGACATCGGTATGTAAAATAAATATTTATGATTTTGATCAATTTCAAAGTGTAATGTTGAAATTAACACTCAGTTTTTATAAATGTTTATATGTTAGACAAGAATTAGGTCTGATAGTCGGGTCTTAATTATATTGACATTTAAGTGCTGTAGAAAATTTAAATCATCTTCCAAACGTTTTTGTTTCAGTTAACTTCTCAGTCTGTCATACACAACGTAAAACCTGGAACATATGTACGTCGGTTCAAATTACCATACCCTACTAGATTAGCGCTCGACTGTTGTTGCTACCTTGACGTGGTGGTTGGGCTTGCCTATCGTAATGAACCAGTCGAGCTATACTGGCTGGAACAATGATCCCTCAAGGTCCTACCATACCGGACATTTCGGTTGAAGAGCAGTAAGAATAAAAGCAACAAACCCAAGGTCCGAGGGCGAAGTCGTACTGCTGAATGTACAGAGGTGTGACGGTAGTAAGGTGTTTCCTTCAGACAACCAGCATAACAGCGAAGCTGCCTTCCCACAAGGAGGGTTGGGGTTGGAAAAGGTCGAGCCTAAAACTGCACACCTTGCCTTATCCCACGGATATCCGTCTCCGGCGGTAAGGTCTCAACAAGTGCGGAGCGAACACAGAAATTGCCCACAAAAGTGTCGTGTGTGACTGACCTCAAGCAGTCTTCCTCTGGGCACTGTGGTCACGCTCTCAGATCACTAAGGCTACCTCTAATCCGATTTCCTTTTCAAGTACCTGCATAAAAACTTCCACAGTGTGGGCAACCGGGAAGTGATAACCGCCCTCATACCTCTAACAGCACATCTGACTGACTGACTAGATTAGCGAAATAAAATTTCCAAGGGAGATCCCATAGAAGTTGAATTAGTAAAAGTATTAGTGACAATACATGTCTTAATCGTCTCGGTCTATAAAGATTCACTACCTCGTCAATAGATTTGCCATTCTTATCTAGTACCCTGTGTCTAATCTCAGAATTGTTAACTCGATGGTCCTAAAATATCCAAACAATCCCCCGAAGATACCTACAACCTAATACTAGCTGCCTACGTATATTTTTCTTTAATTACAGACTATGTTCCGCAGCCATAAAATATAATGGAGCGAACTTCTGCATAGTAAACTCATCCTTTCGTTAGTAAACGTATATCTCGCCTATTCCATAAGTGATCCTAGTTAGTCAAGACCAGCCGAGTTTCGTGAATCCATGCTAAGATTTTGTCAGACACTAACCCACAAAGGCTGATGAGACTTCTAAGATAAGTAGTTGACACGCCCAACTACACTCCCTATCATTAGTTTAGTCGTTGGTGTAGACCAGTTCTGAAGCAACAGTTTTGAACCTGGATGGATATAAATATATCACAAAAGCCCTAGCATTTTTTCTTGAGGTGTTTAAAAGCCTACTTTTTTCAGTGTCTTCATGAAACAGGACTATGTCATTTGTGTATTCTATGTCAATACGAGAATCTTTTGATTGAAGATCGATTCCTGAAAATTCAGACGTTGTGAGGTATCTCTACAAGCATGTTGAAAAAGTTAATTAAAAATGAGGAAAGTGAACAACCGTGACTAACATTGTTTGAAGTTATCGATCCCGAAGGCAGTTCACCACAGGCTCTGACTTGACGAAGTTATGAGTATACACTCTTTATTGGATTCATAATCTCTATTTAGGTTGTAAAATAAAATCTCCAACACTCTTTACCTTCTAATCAGAATTCTTTAATCAATGACAATTTGTGATAGTGACCATTTTTAAACTTTGGAAATATGTACAGTTTAAAACACTTTAATAAATGAAATAAAATTTTTATTGTTTATTTGATGTTCAGTTGTATCTTACCTCTAATTTTTAAACAATCAATTTCCAATAATTTTATGATTATTCATTTTTTATTTGTTTTTACTATTGTAAAATTAGCATTGTAAACTTGGACAAATATTTAAGAGAAATTAATTTATATGATACTCCAGCTGCTTATATCACATCTTATCAAACTCAATGGTCATTTATTAGATCAAAAATACTCAGGTATGATTCAAAGGGTGATAATTTCCTGTTCTCTTCTCTTTTTTTTCATTGATCAGTTTTATTACCAAGTTTTGTCTAATAAAAAGTATTCGTTGGTATATATTACCTTGTCTAATTGCCAAGCATTTAGTTTCGTTGTCGTTAAACTCATTACCGCCTACTTTATGCAGAGATGTGTGAGCTGTTCAATTATTCCACAATCTTTTTGATTGAGATCATGAACCGATTGATGTTAGACCACCATTGAAAACCTGGAAGCACTGGACGGTTGTTTCGTCCTATTGTGGGACTCCTCAGCAGTGCGCATCCACGATCCCGCTCGCGGGATTCGGACCCGAGGTCTTCAGTCTCGCGCGCGAACGCTTAACTTACTGGACCACTGAGCCGGCATCCAATGGGGTTAATGTCTAACCTCAACCAATCTACGGAATTGCGCGACCATCTTCCATTGTACTGAGGTAGATACCTGTTGCTATCCAACACGGATTAGCTCCACTGGTCACGGCTTCTGACTAGAACTCCGGGAATTCCCTCACGAAGCTAGTCATTAGTGAACACATGATACTTATTAGTATAGGGGTTGTGGAGATCTCCACCAACCTGGTTAAAGCTCCAGACGTTCGCTTTTCGTCCTTCTATTTTCGTAAACAACATCCTCTCCACGAGAAGGCAGTGACTAGGACTTCCCTTGCGGTGACTGTATACGCGTGACCATGTGAAAGGATTTCAAGCGGGAGAGCGGACTCCCCTCATCCTCGGCCATACCAGCTAGGAGGCAAATAGGAATAATAACGAGGCGGATTACATGCATATAGCATTCAAATCTCTTTAAACTTAGGACACAGTATTAGGGTCATTCACTATCGCATCGCCCCTGACAAATCAGGCAACCCGAATGTCAAGAGAATACTATCAGGGCATACGAAAGGCTCGGTACCCTCTAGATGGAATACTATATATGCTCAGTGTCCAATTAAGTAATAAATATAACTAGTATTTATTTTAATATTTTAAATTATTAGTTGGTCAACAATTAGTTTATGCAACAAATGTATGTGTATATAACTGAGCTACCCTATCCACAACCAACACAATGTATGACCGATATATCTACTTACACTAACTTATCAATCACTAATGTATGCCAACTATCATGAAATTCGGATTCAGTGCATGCTAGTTTTTGCTTCAACACAACCCAACATCAAAACAGTGCATAAAATAACATCGAATCACTTAGAATAGTGCCCTTCACTTTAGAATATCGATTACTTCTCATTGGTTAATCAATAATGTAAACTAACATAATCTGCGTATACAAAGTATCTCAATGTTTTTTGTTCATACATTTGACTTCCACTTGTGTTGCATTGCGCTTAACTATGGGATATTTAATATTGTATTGATTGATAGTTAGTTCGACCATCTTACAAAAGTATGGTCGAAGTTATGGGCAGTTTCTACATAAGGTACTTTTTAAGTTTTTATACGGAACATGATATTCTTGATGGAAAGCATAACTTATCCGTACCGTAAAATTCTGTGTAAGGTAATTAATCATGTTGAGTAGTTTTCCATCAATTTACGCTGGTATTTGAACTATTTTTGTTCTGTTCATCAGGGTATTTAATACATTGTAAATACAACTTACACGATACAGTATATCATATTTTTTGCATCTTTTTATATGTAATTTAATTTAACACCATATCAATAAAGTGACTAAACACACCATCGTAATATCCAACGACAAATTTCACGTCTTGTGCAAAGTCTTGTTATACAACCTGAATTCCTGATTTGAATTAGATGTACTTGGGCGGTGTTTGAAAATCAAATGCTTGGACCATCAGAGTTAAATCTAAGATTATGTAATATATTTTGAGGATATCCCTTTTTCACAAAACAATAAATTTGTTTTAAAAATTTCTATTTTCTTTTTCTCATCCTAGCCCCATACACGATATCATTGACAGGGATAATGATAATAATTGTTTACTGGACGATATTGTTTTTCAAATCAATCATGTATCAATATGTATTCCATTGAATCCTAATAATGTTTTAATTCACGGTATGCTAATAATTTGGCTTTTCTATTTTAATGTCTGACACAAGGTAGAATTTGATCAACACTAAGCAAGAACTGATATACATGGCATTGGCCATTATTTATTGATCAGTCAATTAACAATAAAACTCAGTCCTATATGAAATCAAAAGCGGTCCAGATAGCTCAGTGGTAGCGTTTCTGACCGTGAAGCTAGGTGATATAAGGTTGAACCTTCCAGAGAGTATCAGTTCTCTCATGATTACAGGTATACATTGTTGACAAGTGCCAAACAGCACGAAACCTAGGTTGACGACTTCCTGTCGACTACCTCTAACCACTGTTTTACTCATGGTAAATTCTCTTCGCCTTAGCAAGAATGTTAATTAACGCCTGTAAATACTTACGATAAAAGTGTGAAAAACACATACACTATATGCAATGGATTGAAAATAACCCCTAACATTTGATAGTTATTATTTTCGAGTTCAACGTGTAAATATATTTTGATGCTATCGATATTGTGAAAAAAGAGGATCTCTGTCTGAATTTAGAAAAGAAAAGAGTAAATAAAAAAATTCGAACAGATTACTAAGTAAACGCAAATAATACACTTTTATTTCAGTTTCAGTTTTAAAAAAAAAACAGGAGGCTTGATGACCTGTGTTAGTCCTGGCAGTGGTGGTCTCTCAGTTGATTCAACTTTCTTTTGAAAGAGTCGACGGATGGAGCCTCAACCACGTGCTGGGCCAATGAATTCCACTCGTTGATCATTAGATGGAAAGTCGTTATTCAACTGACAAGTAATTTGTTCTGGGCTTGTGAAGTTTTTTGCAGTGTCGTCGTAAATTCTCTGTTTTGGAAGACAAGAAAAATGAGGGCATATCAGGTGCAAATTTATCACTAAGCAATTCGAAAACTGTAATCAAGTCACCTCTAGTCTTTCAATATGACAACGGAAATAGGTTTAGTTTGGCAAGTCGAGCATCATACGGGAGCTTCGCTATTTCGGTAGTCAACTTAGTTGCTGTTCTCTGAAACTTTTCCTAAAGCTCACTGTCTTTTTTTAAGCAGAAAATAGCCGCTTGTATGCAGTACTCACGTTTAGGACGTACGAACACTATATACAAAGTCAAAAACGTCTTAGCGTCGACATGACTAAAAGCCGTATGTACTGACCATAAAGTTCTAAAACCTTTGGCGGCTATTGCACGACAGTGTGCAATAGTCTTTAAGTCTTGACGAACGATGACTCCTAAGTCATTATGTGTATCGACTTTGATGACCGATATGCATCACAACACACTTGGAAGTAGTAATCGGCAACTGCCGGGTTTGAGACCATTCAGATAATTTCTTCAGGTCATTTTGGAGTACTAAGCTATCACCCTTACATCGTATCTCTCTCCATTTCTTGACATCGTCAGCATATAGCAAGATCGATTATGATAGGAGACGAGGAAGGTCATTTACATACAAGAGGAATAGCACTGGCCCCAAAACTGTACTCTGAGGCACTCTACTAAGCACAGTTTCCCAGCTAGATAACTTTGAGTTCACACGTACTCTTTGTTGATACCCAACTAAAAAGTCTTTTATCCACATCAATAGATTGCCGCCGATTCCGAAATTTCTTAACTTATATAACAGCCGGTTGTGCGGAACTTGGTCAAGAGTTTTGCTGAAACCGATGTAGGCTACGTCTACAGGTAACTTTTGGTCCTTAAGAAGGCACCAGCTTTCAGTGAGACAAGAATAATCTATTCTAAAACCATGCTGCTTCTCCGAAAGGATCTGGTTTTCATCGAGGTACTTAAACAGCTCCTTTCGAATAATCTTTTCTAAGATTTTAACAACCACATTAGCTAGGCTAATGGGTCAGTAATTCTCAGGTTTATGCTTCGTACCTGTTTTAAAGACTTACTATGGCGTTCTTCCAGTCTTTTCGCAAACGACCCTGCGTTGATGATAGATTAAAGCATATACTTAAACGGTTCGCAACGAAATTAGACAATTCCTTTAGTAGCCTAGGTTCCGATTCATCGGACCCCGCGGGTTTACATATGTCAGGCTTATTTAGCAGAACAAAGACATCAAGTCCTTTAATGGTCACACTATCCAGTGTATGTGTGGGGCTACTTGTATGCGCTGACGGGAACAGTGCTTCTATGGTGTATACATTGCTAAAGTAGTTTGAGAACACTTGACCCTTACCAGAGTCGTCCTCCACTAATGATGCGGCAGTATTTTTGCTATATCTCAATTAGGAGAAATGTGTTTTTCTAACGTTTCGTGACTTAATGTAGGTCTACTCATTGGGATATAGCAAAATTATATTGATTATTAACTTTCTACCCAATACTCAATTTCTTTGAAACTATCAAATTCAACCTTGGTATTAATACTTATAGTAATTTTAAGTAATCGACAACAATTAGTGATATATTAACGAGAATTCTGAACAATAGGATAATCTGAAGTATATATGTCTAACAATCAGGTTTAAAGTCGACTACATATTATTCAGTATGATACCTCTCGAAAATGAATTGATTAATTTCAAAGATAGTTTTGATTGCAAAAATTTATCATCTTTATGGTAATTGACAGTTATCAAAACTATTGAGAAAAGGGGAGAGTTTATGTTACGTGAAATTACTTTTCATTCTGAACTGAATGATTTTATGTGAAAACCTATCCTTATTACAAAAACGATGACCAATATCGTCAAGATTATTGCTTTCTCACTGGTTAAGCGTACTACAAAGAAAATTACTTGTTATAACAGAACCTGTTGACGACAATACTAGACTCCTCTATACATTAATAATAGTAAAGAGGAAAGCTTCGATAGTTGGCAAAAATAATGTACCTGATTAAGGACGCAGGCAAATGAATGTGAGACTGTTAAAATTGTCTATGAAATGAGTGAAAAGAGCGTCTCCAGTTAGCGCTTAACATTTGTACATGATTTAGCCAAAAGTGGCTGTGAATGTGAGAGATAGTAATTGATAGATTGGGCATAACTCAAGAATGGTAAATCGTATAATAATAGTTCATAGGTCAAAATGAGGCTTATAATAGGAGGAATACGAATATGAATAGTCTAGTTATTTAACAATTATACAATAAATATATACGTATAGTTTTAGTCTCGAAATAGATTCCAACAGTTACCATGCATTATTCTCATCAGGTTATAACATTCACTAGTACACCATACTTATTAACTTTTTTCTTCTATTTCACTGTAACTGAACATTTTTCTAATTTTTCTAAATTTTTTTCTCTTTATAGACTTATGTTTAACTATTAAAAAGCACGAAGCCCTACTTATCACTGGTCCGAGCGGTGTTGGTAAAACTGCTTTATTTCGTGTTTTAGCTGGTCTATGGCCAGGTCTCATTTTAATGAATAATAATTCAGGGAATAATAATGCAATCAATTCATTATGTCATTTCTATCAGTCGGATAATTTCCGAGTTGTTTTTATTCCACAAGTATTATACATACCATGGATGACAATTCAATTAAATAATGAATTTTACAAGTTATTAACAAGTTTACATTGTTTCATGATGGCATCAAATTCATTAATATTATCGAATATCCGTAGAGAACTACATTTGTGTTATTTACTATTGAATATAGCATATTCTTTCGATAGTCAATCTACTGGTGGGCTTGATACTAGAGCTACAACATTTGATATTGACAATTCTGAAACAAGTAAGTAATTGCTTTTAATAGATTCTTGTTTTCTATTCATCCAAGATAGTTCTCATATCAGTGTGATAATTGCTTAAGACTCATTAAAAATTGAGGACATTAGACAGTTGATTTTCCCGATTCAGACTTTCTCCACTGGATGGATAGCCGTAATCCCCCACCCACCCTTTATACAGGATATATTCTAAGACTCTTTAGTTATAGACTTTCGAATCGAAATCTAGTGAATTGGATTTCTAACTTTAATTAACTCGAAATACAACTCAATAATCTCCCAATATCACTTATTGACAGCTGACTCAGTTGAGATATGGCTGGCTACACAGGCTAAGATTTCCCAGAATAACTTCTGAATATTCAGTTCGTAATTGTGTTCATTAGTGATTCTGAAGTTAGCTTGTAATGAACCCATAATGTTTATTGTTTATTAGTTGGATTATGGAGTTTGGTTCAATTTCGATGATAAATCTTATCATGGTTATTTAGAGATATTTTAAAAAGCGAGGACTAAACACATGTCCAGTACATTCTATCAGAGTCTCGTAAACAATGTTTGAAGTTTGTTAGACTTCCAATCTTCGAATAAGAAAAGATCTTATCAAGACTCACTTGGGAATATGCCTTAATTTGGGCATAACGAGCAAAGTAGCTGAGTATGATGATCGGTTTATTTATATAATAAATCTCATCATCTGACAAATACAAATACAGAAGACATCCAATTTTTGTCGGCTTATCCTTCGTTTTATATACAAGATGTTCACTTACGTATCTATCAAAAAGCGAGTATACTGTCCAGAAATTTTTGTGCCACTGGGTGACTATAAAATTAATTTTCAGCTGTAGACTTCTTTTAACCGTAATTGTTTTATAGTATTTCTAGCATCTGATCCCTTTTACCAATTTGAATAAAACCAGAATAATATGAATGCCTTATATTTTGTAATTTCGCATCAGTTACTTAATGTTTACTCCCTTATCCCTTCCTTAGTTTGTGATTTCTATCTTCATATGACCTCACATATTTTCATGCACATATATATATATATATATATATATATATATATATATATATATATATATATATATATATATATATATATATGAGTCATACATTAACGCTGTGGGATATCGAATTAGTAGTCTAGAGGTTAAGTGTTCGCGCGAAATCGAAAGTTCTGGGTTCGAGCCCACTTGTGAGATCGTGGGTGCGCACTGCTGGGGAGTTCCATACTAGAATGGAATAGTCGTCCAGTGCTTTTAGGTTCTTAATGGCTGCCTAGCTTAGATTGACCAGTGATCTTAACTGTGGAAATACTACAATCTCCACAAATCCCCGAACAACTATATATATATAAAACAAAGCTACACTACAATGCACCATTTATTTGTAAGCAGCTGATGAGAAATCAAGAAAAATATTAACTTTCTGTTATTATCCCCCAATATAATATTTTTCTTCAAATTGCCGCTTGGTCAACCACGAAGTGATTAATGCTGAGATCTGAAGTATAGTTCTATGTGAAATGATCGATCAGTCAATGAAGTGCAGTAATGATTAAGTCTTTCCCACAATAATTCGGAAGATAACGAAAGGGTGAGTAGATTCGAAAACAATAACCGGTTCAGTAAATTGACTATAGGTATCCATCAAATCTATGTAGCGTCGCAAAATCACCCCTATGTACCAAAATCAGTCAGATCGTATTTGTGTATTTCAGAAATCAACATTAGAAATCTGAACCCCTTCAAAATAATTGTCACTCACAAACCAACACATTCACTTCAACTGAATGATAGATACAACAGTGCAAAAAGATAAATCCAACACCACTTACAAAATAAATTTTATCAAGTGAGAGTGACAGCACATTGGATAGATTGGACATCAAACTCACTTGATTGTACGCACATTTCGACTTGTGATCAAACAATACGTTGACCAAAAATAGTCGTATTAATGCATTTAGACAACCACAGGTGCGAATTCAATTGAGAATATGTCGAACCTGTGGAGTGAAGCGATTCTGTGTATATTGAGTAATTTTGAGGATTGTGTAATTGAGATAAATATTTATAACCACTAGACATCGACCTAATTAGTCATTTCATGAATAAATGGTGTGAAGTGAATCTGAAAAGTTAGTGATGAATAGGAATGTTAAGACAAACATATTGATAAATATCGATAAACAAAGTGTCATCGAATTTGAGTAGTCACAAACATTATTATCAAATTTGGATTGATATAGTGTCATGAAATCTTCGTTTTTTATCCGATCAATATATATTTTTTATGTCTTCGGGATGAACGCCACTTGTTATATCTCGTCGCTGCTGTTTATTTTGTTGGAATCGTTTATTACATACATTTGTAAAAACGAGGAACCACTGCAATTCTCACGATGCAAAATTAAGAACACACACACGACTATGACGGCGACGACGACTAGTCGAAAATACACTGACTTATATATTGATTGCACACTCATTTTTGATTGATAATTAAGATAAAATCACATATATGAAAAATACTTAGAGTTATAACAAATCACAGACTGAGCATAGTTCATGTCAATGGAATACAAGAATATCGGATGCTATGCAGAATAAAATATCATACGAGAAAACAAAACAAATACTACACACAGTAATTATCACATTAAATCAAGACGGAAGTAATGTTGAACCAAAAATATTAGGAATTCAAATTCATAATTGTCAAAGAAATGCATTCTCTTATTGTATATCTGTATTCACATTATTTACTGATTTATGTATAACTCTGTTATTCAATTTGAAAACATCTTGTTTCATGATTAAATAGATGTACTTGTTGTTCGCTATGATAACTAAATGCCACATTTTAAGTTACTGATCGTATTAAAAGTTAATCGATTCACTAAGAATAATCTATTGACATAGAAGTTTATTATGCTTGTTTTCTACATTGGACTCAGTAGTCCATTAAATAACTCGCTGACATTTAAAACAGAAAATGTAAACAGCAACACAAGAATCCACATATATCTGGCTAATTTTTCGGATTCAACTGTTAGTCATTATTTATCCAGTTCTATTGAAGATAAATTATTAGGGAGAGTTTATGGACTTATAGTCAATCACTCAGTCAGCTACAACGTAGGACCAGGCACATATATGCATCGGTCCAAGTTGCCATACCTCATTAACACAGCAAGATGTACACCGGATTCATACAAGTAGTTAATTCAATGGCGGTAATATATAAAAGAAAGATTGTAATAAGGATATAGTACAGGAAGGAAGAATTAGTTCGTAGAAAGAAAGATACGAAGCGATTTTAATTTCATAGTTTAAGGGAAGACAGAGAGTGTTCATACACCTACGCCATTGTGATCGATTCTGAGTCATGTCACCAAGAGTCTCCAACTATTGGTTACGATAGTCACGCGTACCCCAACCAGGTAGTCTGCATCTACAAATATGGCTCAGGCCGGAAGTTAGTGACTTCAAGCACTGATGCCACGTTTTGGTTTGGTCGCCCCTAACCTTCTTCCAACCATACCCAACACCGGTCAGCATTGCATTCCGTAGTAAACAATGTTCAGGCATATGTAACACGTGTCCCAACCATCTCAGTTGATGAAGATTCACAACCTCATCAACTGACTTACCATCATTCCCTAATGCCATGCGTCTAAGCTCATTATTATTTACCTTGTGATCCCAGCAGATGCAAGCAATATTTCTAAGGCATCTGTGGTCAAATACTAGTAGCTTACGAGTATCTTGAACTCTTCTTAATGGCCATGTTTCGCAGCCATATAGTAAAACAGAATAAACTGTCAAGCAGTATACTCGTTGATGAATATGTTCAACTAGAAAATAATATAAATCAAATTATTTTTCGATTAATCTCTTTACAAAATGTTTCACCAACATTGATTTATATCTTGATTTATATAAATAAGGGTTTAACTTCTAGTCTATCATTCTTTTTATTGTCTTCTATTTTATTTTATTTTAAAACTAGACTTAACTAGTCATAATTCTAGAAGAAAACAAAATTCCAAATATTCAGTTTGTGATTATAATCTGGATTCTTTCGAAAAAGCCTTAAATTTACTCGTTGAATTTCGTCTTATCAAATTGGAACAATGTTATACATTAAAACAAATTCTTAAATTATATTATAACAATGAAAATAATAATGGTAATAATACTATTATTGATGATGGTATTTATTCTAAAAATCAATATCAAATTCCATTATTAACTGATATTTGTTATAATGGTTGTTCTGTTAGAACAGAGAAATCCGAGTATGAATTCGATTCGTAAGTTGATAGAGATGAATGATCTGTTTGGGCATTTTTTTTTGTTCTGTGTAAGAAAAATTGTAAAATGTAGATTTTATTTGCAACTGTCAACCAATACCAAGGTCAGGATTTTCAATACAAATGTCAAGACAGTTCTACTGTATGTGGCGGAAACCTGGAGAACTACGAAAGCCATCATCCAGAAGATACAAATGCTTATTAACAGTTGTCTACGCAAAATACTTCAGATCCGTTGGCCGGACACTATTAGCAACAACCAACTGTGGGTAAGAATAAACCAGATCATAGCGGAGGAAGAAATCAGGAAGAAGCACTGGAAGTGGATAGGACACACATTGAGGAAAGCACCCAACTGCGTCACAAGACAAGCCCCCACATGGAATCCTGAAGGTCGAAGGAAAAGAGGAGGAACAAAGAACACATTACGCAGCGAAATGGAAATAGACATGAGAAAAATGAACAAGAATTGGATGGAATTAGAAAAGAAGGCCCAGGACAGAGTGGGCTGGAGAATGCTGGTCGGCGGCCTATGCTCCATTGGGAGTAACAGGCGTAAGTAAGTAAGTATATTCATAAAACATAGTAATTAGTGATACGTGAATTATGATTAATAGCTATGCAAGTTGTTTCATTTATGATGAAACATAAATTCTAATGCATTAGTTTAACGTTATGTTATACGGTCGTACGAGTCTGATACTGATCTATATGCTTAAAAAGTTAGGCTCCTAATCGATCTATTTTAGTGAAGAAAATAGGAGTGAATAGGAAGCTTTTTATTGGCTAGTGAAATCATGAATATATGTACAACTCATCCATAAATATATATCTTTCTCTTTTAGAAAATGAAAAAAAAGACATTTTCAAACAATTGCATTGCTCTCTCTCTCTCTCTCTCTTCTTCTTCTTCTTAAGTAAATATGAAGCCAAATCTTGGCCAGTAAGTGTCTTTCATTTAACATGTCTGATAGGTAAAGCGTATCGTTCAGTCAAGTAGTAAGGATCAACCTAGTTAGCTTCATAAAGAACTCCACAGTGGCCTACTATAGTAAGACAGGGACAGATCTTAGATTAAAAGTTATTTAGTAGCCACAGTTGCTAATAATGAATGACTAGTACTCAAAGTTCAGAAAAATACATCTGTGCTTATACTCGTCAAACAATTAATACTGCTTTTTGCATGTAACTACATAAACTTTCACAAAACCATTGCGAATGCATTCGTTCTTGAACTTACACAAGAGATTTTTTCAACCTGGAACTTATTACTTAAAGTTAATTTTCATCACAAACTGAGGGTAAATAGCAAATTCTACTTTAAGTATGCTTCTGCTTATGATACTATAAACCTTCATCAATTTTAATGGTTTGAGTATTTATCACACATGCCTATTCACTGGGTGCTCTGATATTTTAGCCTAGCTAATATAGAAGTAGGTCAGGAAAACTATCAGACGAAAACATGAAATCGCTTAATTAAGTCATTGACTGTTGAAGTGAACCTTGTCTTAGGATGTAGACTGTTTCTACACTTCAGGCTGAACATGATCTATTGTTAAATATTTTATTTGTCGTAGTTTATAATCGGTCGACTTAGCGAAGATCTATTCATTTTTGATCATAACCTTATGACTTAATGTATTATTAACTCATTCTTTTTTATTCTGTTGACTTTATCCTTTTTCGAACCATATTCTGGATCTTCAGTCCTCGTACTGTCATTATTATTATTATTGTATCCATTCCCTTGCTGTTCATTTTGTTCTCGTTTTGCAGTTTACTTATTCCATACTCGGGTGCGCGCAATTGTTGTAACCAAACAGTTAAAGTTGTTGAACGGTCTGTTGATTTAAAATCGTTTGTGATGATGCAGATCCATTTATTGTTTGTCTATACTTGGATCTTAAGTTTTAAATTGTTCTATATTTATTATTTAGTAGATTCTTTATTTCTTTTCGATTGTCATTGTCTATTTTCGTCTTTTTACTTCACTAATTTATAGTTTCTTGAATCGTATTTTCTATGTTTAATCTTTCCTAATACGACTGATACTGCCAGTACCTCTAGTATTCTGGGATTTTGCTTGATAATTTTATCTGTGTTAAATGGGGTATAACAATTTGAACCGATGTGCATATATCACAGGTTCTACGTTTTCTACTACCATTGATGATGTAACTACTGCTACTAATCTGACATTTGTCTCGATTCACATCACTTCCATGTTCTATATTACTTATGGTTAACTGACTTCTGTACTGTTTTACAATGTGAACCAGAAAATACACTTTAGCTAAATCTGATCCAAGTTTAATAACTAAGTAATTGGTTAACTTAACTATTTTTCATCAATATAAACACTTATCATCAGTAGATTTTGTTTTTTCTTCACTTTTTTTCCGTTTTTATTCATATTTATCATTAATAGACAGTTAATCAATTATTCACCCGGTGAATTGCAACGATTAACAATTGCGGCTGTATGTTTTTATCAACCAGATATGATATTTATGGATGAATCTACAAGTCAATTAAGTGTAGCTGATGAAGCACAAGCCTACATAAGTCTTTCTAAAAGAAATATTACACCAATTACAATTGCACATCATAATTCTGTTCGACAATATCATTTGATGGAATTACAATTAATGTCTATCGATGAACAGACTACTGTTACTACTACTGAAACAAGCCAAGTGAAAAAATGGAAGTTGATTAAACTTGAGTAAACTATATATATACATGTGCAATCTCATTATTGTCACCGTGTTAGACAATTTAGATTATTCTCTCCATATTTTGTTTAAACGTCAACTTATGAGTTTTAGTCATTTCTTCCTTTTCTGTTTTTCTTTATCATTCTCTATGATATTAGTAGTAGATTGTAATCTTTTTAAAATTATAATAATAAACTTGACCAACATGTATTTATCATATTTGTAACTGTTAGTGCAATAAATGCGTTTATTGTTATTTGTTTTATGTGTATAATTCATATTACACAAATACGTTTTCTCAAGTTCTTACGGTTTGTTGAGTCTGTTTGGTTTTTCAACAACAACAAAAAAGAATTTCGGATACCTTTATATTGGTACTTTATGAAACTTGTAGGTAGATTTGTTTCCTAAAATATTTTATCAATAACCATCCATTTTATTCTGTAATATCGTTGAAATTCGTTGCAATAAGCTTACTGACATCTCTTTAATTTCTCAATTATTTAACTCTAGTTTGTACTAGATACTTCTGTTTAAGATGTATTGTGTTATTTCAATTAGTTTCTAAATTTCATAACCGAATTTATAATTAGGAGTATTGAAATAACAGAAATTTTGATTCATTTTGGTTTGAATAATAATTTTAGTTAGTTAATGACAACTGCCAAATATACCTAGAAGATATATCAGTAAGTTGTGATCACTAAAACAAATTGGTGAAATTATTATCAAACCTAAGATGTGGTCGCTATCGCGTAAGTGTTTCTTGTTTGCCTAATATTTTTCACATAAATATGAAGGGTTTTTAAAACAATTTGTGTACATTGTTTTATAACTACCTACATTTATTCAGCGATTGTTATGGTTGATTATTTACGCGGACGTTGTGGATGTTTCAGTGGTAGATGCAGGCTGTCTGTTTGGGATCTGAGTGATAAATGGTTTAAAAGTGTTGGGTGACAGGGCTTATAGTTGACTAGAATATCACAGATACACTAACTCATTGTCGTCCATCAGTTCTTGACTTTTATTACCCTTTCAGATTTACGTTTAAATTTCGTCCTTTTGAATCATATTTTCATTTCATAGTCTTCCACGCTGTTATTCTTATCACACTTCTCTTGAATTGTCTGCTATTCACTATGTTAACTCCGCATCCTTCTGCTGATATGGTATGTTAACATGGACTAATGCACAAGCTCCACGTTGATTATTACTTATCAACTTGCAATGGTTATTAAGTTTAAAAATAAGTGGTACTAGTCTGATCTGGTGTTTAAATATCAGATCCCATGATCGTAAGTGTTATTAGAATAATAAGCAATAATTTGAATTCATAAATATTTTGAGATCTTGAAGGTGTGCTATATGAGCAGTTGCTATTCAGTACGGTTTCTTTTTCATACATTAACTTATTATGCTGATCTTGAGTTTCTACCAGACACATTGTATGTAGTAACTCTACTGTTTAAATACAAAAAACAAATATTCGAGGCAAAGATTTTACTCTATATGAAAGTAGACCAAGTGAAAACTATTTTTTCTACAGCTTAAAATCTGTTATTACTCGATTAGTGTCTTTAATGGTATGTCAAAAAAATTTCAAAACCTTGCCACCCTTGTTTACTGAGATTTACATAATCCATGTGATGAAATTCAATGCGATTATTTCTTTGTTTCGTGTTTTAATCAACGACAAATTGTAAGTTTGTGTGTACGTATCTTTAATAAATTGAATAAATCACATCCATCAACTATCGTGACTGAGTGAGAATATTCAGTCCTCGTTATTGAGAAGAGGCTATTATGGGGTAGCAACTTTTCTTCTTACTATTAGGACGTACCGACTGAACTGAACTAACTTAAGATCAGAAATGCCTTAGATTTGTCCAGTAACGTCAGGTATTAGTATACTGATTTTATCACGTCATGTAGCGTATTAGCTATGATAATGCCTAGAAGTTCAATGTTTATTGCATACGAACCAGGTTTCTATTTGCCTGAACATCGGGACTTTGGTATTTTGCCAAAATTCAATGTGTTTAGATCTCGACTATCGTATTCTTAATATTTTATATCTCAACGACATAGTAATTCCTTTAACAATTCCTACTATCACAGTCCTTTAGGAATTGAAAGTGTATGGTTATCAGCCTTCGGAAGTATGAAGAAACGGAAAGTATTTGACCGTCAACCTGTTGGTCTGAAAAGTAAATCGGAAATCGTTCTCAGGAACACAATTCATGATGAGCACTATAGTCATGCGAAATTATACAATCTGATAACCTTAGAGAAATTGTTGCAAATGAATACAAACGCATTTGTAGAATAACGGTCTGCTTCGTTATCGGTACTGCTCTAATAACAGACCTAGTCCTAACATTGTAGATTTGTTATGATGCAACTGCCTAATCTATAAGATCCTACGTGGAAGTCACATCATTGTCTACACTGTCTCATCGAATCCTAACAACCACCAATATATGATAGAGAACATTTTAGTCTGGAGATAGAACAATATATTTAGTGTGGGCTGCACAAGAATGACCACATATGGAAGGCCGAGCCATGCCATTCGATGGATTTAAATGAATCCTTCCTGCCTTCTCCATTGGTTGGCTTTTTCACTGCGTGAAAATCTGAATATCAATTTTCCAAGTTTTCTCGTGGGTGAAGGTACTGAATGTCGATGACTTCATCACAGTGGAGTGTAAGTAGAGGGTCTAGAAATGACAGTCTTCGTTTCAAATCAGTATATGTCGGTCGTACAGTCCTTCGGAATAAACAACCCACACTATTGATGGTTTACAATGACTTTCTCATCACCTAGACTAATAACTAGTGGGGGCATTCAGGGAATTGTAATAGGTTGACTTTTGTTTCCTATGTATATAAACGGTATATGTAACATTATAAAATTTTGGAAACCATACTTATATGCTGATGATCTCAAAATGGCATACAGCTATAAGCCTGAAGATTTGAGTGAGTGTATCCCAAATTCAAAGTGACCTCAATAACCTAACTATCTGAAGCGAAACATGGCAGTTAATATTTAACCTCAACAAGTACGAGAACAGGCATTTTGGAAATCATCCCTATAAACTACAACGTTACTTAAATAAAGGTAGAGTCCAAACACTTAAATCAGTACACGATCTAGAAATTAATTGCACAAGAAGCCCGAACTTTAAAGAACATGCTCCCTCTATTATTTCTAGATGTAGACGTCTAATTGGTTTCATGACGAAAAAATTTCTTCACAAAAGAGGCTAAGCTTACACTCTACAAAATATATGTACGAACCCCCATTGAATGTTGCTCTTTTATCCTCTGAAATATGAATACCACAGATAAGAGAATAGTAGATGTTCAAAAAGGCTTCTCACGCCAACTGCTAGGATATGACTCAACTCTCAGTTACACAGATAGATGTAAGCACCTCTCTTTACAACCTTTTTTGGCACCACAGGCTAAGGATCTACCTAATATTTCTCTACAAAACAATATGTAGATTCATTTCCAAACTTCTGCATAACAACGATCCATGACCCAGCCTATAAACTAAGAGACAACGCATATACACTACTTACTGCAAAACACCGAAAACAAATGCGTTGTAAGCTTTTTGCGGTGAGGTATAACTTGTCATGGAACAGGTTGCCAATCCCTTCCGGTAACTGTGACAATTTTTTCAAATCCAAGATTTTGATAACCTTATTACCAGACTCTAACGAGCCTCACCAACTATTCCACGAACTCCTGGACACCAATGAGGCACTTTATTATGGACCGCCTAATATCTAAACTAAACAAGAATATAACGAACCCCATCAATAATAATATGAATATGATTCAATTGCAGAACACATGATCTATCCCCTGCCACCGATTATTAGTCATGGCCTTATGCTCCTTACCCTCATATTCAAATCCCGAATCACTCTAATGTTTGAAGATACATTATTCTTAATAAATGCCATGTTATTTTTTTCTACCACAAGTGGACAGATAACTCACTAATCTTATCGATGCTAATCAACCTGACCTGTACCCAATCATAAACATTCATTGAAGTATCAATCAAAGATGCGTTATACACATTGTGGAATCTTGGATGACTGTCGATGGTTTGAGTTGTCATATTTTTGTTTTTCTTGTTAGAAACAGAATTAACGATGTAAATTCGGTTTTCTAGACCTTCCATGACCGCTGCTATTTAGAGGGAGAAAGCCAGAAAAAATTTCATTTCTTGAGCTTTTATTTCCAACAGACCACTTTATAAGCCGTCCTTCATACTTTGGCTCATGTAAGTCAATTAACCTTGAGCCTATTTGAGGTAACTTCACATCAGTTTGTTTAGCGACTGTCTGATGCGTTTCGGTAACGTATCCTAATATACATTTTAGCAACATTCACCGTTTCAGTGACATCGGATAACAAGATATTGGTATTCGAAAATGGCTGCTAATACATTCACAAACAGCTATGTTTGCCAAAAGGTTTGAAAACCACAGGCGTCAGACTCGTCCAAACTTTGCGGTATCAACCTTTGCACTCACCACACTACTTGATGAAGACGGTCACAGGTATTCAGTGTTTGACAACGCTTCCACCAGTAACACTTAATATAATTCGTACCCACCGAGAGAAATCAAAAGACAGAGTCGAGGAGATCGGAAGAGTGTATTTGGCGATAACCAATATATCGAAATTCTCTGATCTAATCTGGCTAGCGATTGAGGTAGATGTTGAGCACAGCGTCACCACACGTGCTCTGGTGCGGTTGCATGACCGAGCGCGTTCAACTAGATGAGTCCATTAAAACGTATGGTCAGCATCCAATAATGAAAACTTACAGAGCTATTTAGTTTGGTGATTTATTTACCGCTGCAATGCAATTTCAACGGCGTATCGGCAGCCTGGGAGTTACTGACTGCTTTTTAGCACTGTCCAGTCATCAAACATAGAATTTCAACAGAGAACTGATACAAACAATACACAGAAACAAAGTAAAACTGATGACTAATTCTAATGGAAAGTATAACTTGTTAGAACCAAAAGAGCAAACAAATACGAAAAGAAGCAATGTGCTCAAAAGTGCTAATGTCGAATTACTTTGACTGGAATAAATTCACTGAAAGTGAAAACAGCAGTTTTGATGGATAATTAACGATCGAGACAACAAAATTATGTCTGCGAGGGAAAATATCACTGTCGTTTTTTGAATAGCCAGGGCGGTTTCAACTGATAAATTTTTGGGTCGATTTCTAGCTACAATAAGTTTTTAAATAATATAAAAAGGTATATGTATATATAATTTCAGATATTATGTTTCGGCGAGCAGTTCGTTTGCGCGAATTGTTCAAAAAACGAGCATGTAACACGTCTTAAATGCTACACTAACGGGGCGGGACTGTATTTTATAAACGAGCCAATCAGAGGCATTTGAAGGATTTCAAGGTTACGGCGCCAACTTCAGTGTTTAGTGCTAACGTACGATGAGTTCACGAAGAATTTTGTGCAAAACGTGATAATTGAACGGCTATAGCAAATAAAACGGCGAGACTGTAATTTGTGGACGGATCAATCAGGTATAAGATAACAAATCTCCGATTTGGGCACGAAAGCCTCTAATCCATTTGACTAAATAGATTTCTGGCAGTATTGCTGATGTCAGTTCGTGATGAAAACGACATATAACTCCTAACTGAGGCTAATTATGACAATTATCGCGAACTAGGTAATAAAAGTGCCAGTAACACTGGCTGCAGTCATGCACTACAATATATAGGGATGATTGGAGAGCCTACAGACTCATACATAGGCTTGGTCATGTGCGTCGTGTCGTTATCCACAAGTAGCATTTTGTGTACTCAACAACTGAAGTGCACATAAACAATACTGAGACTATGTGTTTGAGGCTGAAAGAGTTTTTGGGACTTTATCATGGCTACGGAGGCCGACTATTATGTAGGCGTAGGGATGATTTCCTCCACTGCGTGTACTACAATTTTAGGACCTCTGAACCTCTTTTAAACCTTGACAAGTTTTTGAACCGTGTATAAGAATTATCCACTGTATTTCGTTGGTTTTGTATGGTATATTTTTACTATATGCTTACTGTTCGCCGACTGCCTAATATTCCCAAGGTCATTTAAAATTCGTTCAGAGGTCGTCCATAAATTTGAGTCTCGCCTAATAAGCTTCCCTGTTTGTACTGGAATTGGGTGTTTCTACTTATTAATTATATCTGTTGTGCCAGTTTGCCGTTTTCTTTCTTTAGTGGCATGTACGAGTCCTGACAATTGTGTTGTGTTTCAGATCGCTCCTGCTTCCAAGTAAACGCTAATAGTACGTGCTACAACACTATCAACTCTTAGTCTCGATAACGGAACTGTTTTAAGTTCACGTCTGTATTATTTTTAATTTTTGTCCATTACTTTCATCACTTATTGTAAGTGCAGTCTATTTGCTTATCTATTCGTTGACTCATTTTTACTTGTTCTTTTCTCTACCAGATCTGGTAATCGATAATCAAACACACTGCTTCCCACAATCCTCTAGCATCCAAGATTCTTTCAGGCTGGACAGAAACTTTATGAAATCTAGACATTAAAAGCATATGGACTTGTTTAAGCTGTATACAAAAAAGATTTTGGATTCATGGACATCTTTGCGCCTTGGTCTAAATCAGGAGTCTGGAGGCCCAAACACTCAACAAAAAGTAGGATTATTGTATGAACATCTACCTCAGGTTGTTTTGAAGTCTAAACACGAAGATGAAATTAGCGACTTTTTGGAAGATTATTTAGATGATGAATTAAATATTATTTGTGAAGACAAATCTCACGAAGAAGTTGCACGTCTAATATACGAAGGACTTCTTCTTTTTCGAAATAAAAACACCAGTGAACTTCAAGATAAAATAGACAAACTGACATCCGGTTGTAATCTTAATCAATGTTTATCTCAAGACCAAACCACTGATGCTGACGATTTGACTTGCAGTGAGTCAGATTCAGGAAGTGAGGAGGATGTTGACATGGAGTAAAAGCTTTCTTTGCAAAATGTATAATATTTCCTTGTACATACTAGTTTGGTTTGGTTATAATAATCCAATGTCTTTTCTCTTATCTGCTTTTATTAAACATGTGTGAGTTGCAACTTCCGAATTTAAGAATTTCGGTGACATGATGCGGTTATTCTCTGATTAACCTAATAAACGAGTGAGGTTTGGGTAGAGGACTTTATTAGCTAAAGTTGATGGGGAAAATAGACTGGTGTCAGTGGTTCCTATTGTAGCCTATGGGATCTAGGACTAGTAGATAAAGAGGCGGTAACCAAAACTTATCCGTTTAGCTACATCTTCTTCGAGAGTGTATTGTCGATGCAAATTGTCTTCCGTCGTGCACAGCACAATTATCGTCACTTCACTGTTTTTTGCTCCTAACAAATGTCATGCACATAGTCCCACAATTTTTTCATTATTCATTTACAAAAGATGTGTTGCCTGGTCCTATTTTCAAAAAAACGATTCTCGCTCCTGAGCGATCAGCTCCATTTGGATACCACTTTCTACACATCATAAGCTACTTAGTGAGTTATCTTTGCAACTTCTGTTTCGAAATAATCCCGAGAATCGAAATACTTGATTTTTTATTCAGGCTTTTTACAGTATATTTTTCACTGCCTCTAGCTTTACCTTGAACGGTTAGAAACAAATTAGTTCCGGGCCCATACTACCACATCTCACAATAAAAAAATATATGCGAAGACGGTTGTGAGAAGCAATATGGTAAGATACATGAGTGAGCTACCATAGTGTTCAAGATTTTGGATTCGACCTATCATCAGTTTTTGATCTATTTCCGTAGTCTCTTCGCAGGTTATTCTAATCCCAGAAAGGTCTGTGACGCTTTTCATGACCTGCGTAGCACAATCCAACCACTTCAGTCATTGAACTTTAGTTCATAAACCAGTTTGATACTTTTTACCTAGTAACCACTTATTGCCAGAGTAATACACCTGTTTCCATCCTCCGAGATGTACTCACCGGACATTCATATTCGATTTTACTGCTGGTTTTGTCCACAAATTAGCCTCCCGGAAGTATGTTATTGCTAAATCGTGTTCCTTGGTTAATACGGGTGTTCTATACGTGTGGTATGGGTAAAGAACAGAATGAACTAGTATACGCTTAAAAACCAAACGGTATTTTATTGGCTCTCCTCACCTTGACTTAGATTGGAAATAACACGCATAGTAGGATATAGACAACAGGGAGGGTTGACGCCATCTAGTTTGGAACCTGTAGGGCATAGTGCTCTAGTTCTAGCTGTGATATTCTCAAGTCATCCGTAAATGTTGGGTTAAACTACTTTTATTTGTAGAGTGTGCTTTAGTTTTTTGTGTATCATATTTATGTATGGGTTGGTTAAATGGTTCAGAATTTGTTACCTGTAAACTGACTGGACATAGAATGCGCTAACACACATCTGTAGGCAATCTATTTTTTAGTAGACGGGGTCTGCTTAAGATGAACGGAACGCTAAGACTTCCTAGCCTACGTTGAAGTCAATCCGTGGTTGGTACGTGAATTGAACGATCCTGTAATGACAAACAGATAAATCGGATTCCTTGATGACATTTTGAAATGCATGTTGAAAAAGCGAAGGATATTTTAGCAAAACCAAGTTGAGCTACAAGGACGGACCACTGCGTATCCACCAGCCTACGGCGTGCTCCTGACTAGTCAGTGTTCGTCAACCCTTAACTACAAGATTTTCTAAGGACTGTCCGACGCAGTTATGGTTCAGCCTGATGAGTGACTTGGTCAGGGCCCAATGGGGTTCCACTGGCGCTGTACTCTCAAAAATAACTGCGGTAGGGATCACCTAGGGAACTACGCCTGATGATGAATGCTCCAGTCTTCGATTCCTGCTCAATTTTTTGATAAGCTTACAGAATTATGCTTAAATACTACCAAAGTCGACATTTTTTTTTACCTACAAAGACCACGTTTCGCAGCGATAAAGAGGCAGTCCTGAAGCAAAATTTCGCATCAGAAAGGATATACCAGACATTTTTGTATTGTCGCTAAATACTTTCTTTTAGTACTTGCACAAAACAGCCTTATAGAAAAGCTGACCATTATTAACCAATCGAGGGAAGGTACATTCACCGGAGAGTTGTGACGCAGACCATCTTATATCAGGACTATCGTTGCTCCATGCTTCTTATCTGACGTTCGTTTCACAAACAGTTCATCAAAACATTTCAAATGGTACAAAACAACTAGTGGAATGTGCCACTGACAGTTATTTTGCAGTTTTTGCTCATTAAGACGACCTAAGACAGCGGGCGAAAAGGTAGGATCCTAGTGGTTTTGCAATGTTTGAACAGCCAAACAGTTAGAATAAGGGCACTCTTAGCTCATTTTTACAGCGCTTAAGACAGCCAGTCTTCAACCACAAGACTGCAGATCCGAATATTCGTCCTGTTTACTTTGGTTTGAGTAGCGGAATATTATCCCTAGACATCTTTAAGAAAGTAATAAAGACATTTCAACATGTCCTCGATGTTAATAGTTATTATATTACAAACATTCATTTCAAAACGTTTTTGTTCCTGGATAAATTTAAAATACTTAGTATTAATCTACTCAACTGAGTTTTGAAAGCATTTAGTCTAGACGTGAATTTATGTAATATATACCCACCAGTAGATCTTAGAACCATCAACGGCCAACACTTCAGATTAATAAGCAGTATATTGATGCATTCATTACAAAAAGAACTATTATATATGTACAAGTATACAATCCTCAAAGGGGATTTTTTTGTCTGGTTAAACATGATCAACTGCTAATTCTAAATAGTAATTAAGCGAAATATTTGGTACAGAAAACTTTTCAAAGTCCAAAAAGTCTAAGTTTCCATGCAATGGAATAGATGGACGATTATCCGTTAGTTTGAAGAAATTCCTTATTGATTGTCGTAATGCTTCCTCTTCTGCAATTAATATCGTTTCACCAGGAGCTTAAGTGATTGAAACAAAAATAGACAAATTATTATAAAACAGGCCGAGGTATAAACTTGTTACTGATTTAGAAATTCAGAGTATTTGCTTTTCTCTAGTTGTGTACATAAAAGTGAGATTTTTTAAAATCCACTTGGTTTAATTGATAATAAATTTCATGGGCTACTTTTCATAATCACTACAAACATCAATCTTAACAATATGCCAATAACATTACATACGTATAAAAAATAGCCGACTCGATTGTTATTTATCTCAAGTTACAGAATACGAACAAATCATACACCATAAAATTTACAATTGATTTTAGCAATATATATTCAGGTGTTGCTCACCCACAATTATGTGGTCAGTATAAGTTATTCGTGATGTAAAAACGACTTTGAGGCAGCCTGTTCGTTAGAACTAGTGACGGTACAATTTCAGTTGCCAAAATCTGAAGAAACAGAACAGGGTTCATATTTGGGACCTATTGATTAAACAATCAATGATTCTTAACTATTAATTCATTATTTTACTACTTCCTCGTTACCCTTGAACAATGTGCATTTATTAGCAGATCACAAAATATCGGTAAAGTTTATAAAATTAACATTACAACAACTTGGTTTAACCTCTGATATCTTCCTTAACCAGCATTAATACCATTAACATCATGTGTACCACATCTAATTAAATGTAGGTACACAATCTGTCATCGAATTTGTTGCCTAAAACTTCTTGTATATCTAGAATAGTGTCTAGTTTGTAGATAAACCGCAAATCTTATGATAGTAATGGTAGATAACTGCCAACATTTTTGTAAATCTCGTTGTTTAACTTGGTTATCCGTTCGAGTTGTCAAGGTGTATGTTCTGCCATGATTTGGTGCTAACCTGACTTTTACAAGAACTGATAACCAGGTCTAAATATAATTTCTTTAATTGTAGCCACATAAGTAAATCAACAAATAAATCGGTGAATGGACATGCTGCGGTTTCCATGAGTATAGTTTAACAGCCGATTCATGACTTTCCCACAGTCTTACGAAAACTCAAAATCCCAAACAATAAGTACAGGCGGAATTCTTGATGTTTTGTTGGCTATTACAGTATGAGTTATATCTTGAACAACCATTTACCAGTATAAATGTAGAACAGATATTCAGTTGCACATCATTTAGGTTACATAAATCCATCATAAAAATCTTAACATCCTGTATGTGTTAAATGTTAAGAATATGCTGTTTACCTTCTCCAATAAGTTGACAATCACTATATATACCAACTTCAAAACAGGCTAGCACAGTATTCATACTTGACTGATAAATTAATCTGTAAGGAGAAGTGACCAAATAGATTATCTATAACATTCATATACACAAAGTTATTATATATTAGTATTGTGTCTACATACGATTAGAAGTATGTCATGATTTAAAACTATGTTCAACCAATAACTTCAGTGTGCTTCTATATTGTAAAGTGAGTTATTTTCACACAAAATTGGACTTTTCTATTCCAAGAGGTGAGATTGTGACTAATCAACAAAAATTTTCCAAGAAAGAAAATTACGTAGCGAGGCTCTGAGTATTTTTTTCAAACTTGTTTGAATTACATTTCAAAGTAAATAATTTATCATTTTAGATTAGACAAATTAGGATGAGAGCGAAATTACTAGAAGCCTTGTGTTCTATGAAGTGGATAGTTTAATGGTAGTCTTTTTTGTCTCTCTATATATCATTAATAAATGCTTTACTATCAAATAATCCAGTCTAAACAACTAGGTAATTCCAAAAGCCTTTCCCTGAGCACACAAACTGTCATCACAAATATGTACGAATAAAATAGAGTTCAGTTAATCCAACTAAAAATTAGTCACAATGCTCTAGATATATTTGGTTCTTTAGATTACTTTTTGCTAAACCTTGGGAATCGCTAGTATTCTGCACTTTTCTCTCTCTTTATTTCATTCCTTCATTTCTGAACAACGTTTTCGATGTTTAATCTTTCAGACTACCATTTACACGATTATATCGTTTTGACTACTCAATTAGCCATTTACATTTTGTAAATTTAATTTCACAGTGTTGATATGATGTAACAACTTAAGTTATTAAATATTAATGTCAAGTCCTATGTTGATTTTTATTGATTAACAAATGCCCTGGTACGGCCGAGAGTGGGGAGAGTCCGCTCTCCCTCTCGAAATACTCTCACACGGCCACGCGTATATAGCCTCTGCCAGGGAAGACCTACTCACTGCCTTCTCGTGGCGGAGGTGTTGTTTACGAAAATGAGAGGACGAAAAGCGAATGTCCGGCGCTTTAACCGGATTCCAAACCAATGGTGCACATGGGCTCCAGTATCCTGCGGGAACAAATGGCGAATGAACCAATTGTTGGTCACCGGCTTCCATGGGACTGCATCTCCTTACGATGCTCCACTGCCTTGTGGATCAGACCTTTAGGTCGAAGGCTCGGGGTGTGGCCCCCTAAGAAAACCACCTGCTTCGGTTTGGGCACCCGGGCAGTATCACAGCCCTCACACATATCGAATGAGATTTGTGTGGCGCATATGTATTTGGTGCCTCTTTATACCATTATCTATGTGTTGAAATAAATAAATAAACAAAGGAATTCCGAATGTATTTTTGTGTTATCTTCTTCCCCACAACAGTTAAAGATGAAGGGGGCAAACTTTAGAAAAACATTATTTCAAACTAATACATACCACTTACCTGGTTTCAGGTGGGCCACGTCCTTCAGATTGAAGTATACCCTGTAGAAGGGGTAATGGATTAGGAATTGAAATCAGTTCAGTTAAATCTATATCAGGAAGCCTTGCTAGTATGAAATCCCGAATAAACAAATGTGCTCTCTCCATCTAAATCACAATAATAATAATAGTTATTAAAAAATTATTTTTGTGAACACATTTTATAGATCATAATATATTTCGATTGTTAATCTAACAACATAAACATTACTAAAACCGAAGTTTGTCAATATTTGGTGTATATATATATACTTCTTTTTTATTTTCAGCAATCCAATCAAGTGAACAAATAAATTTCATTACCAATTTGAGTGAAATTCTTAAAAAAACGATTAAATCATATATGGATGGATATTAGTCATGATTAGGGGAAATAAGGCAAATTTTTTTGAATACATTCACCTTGTCTTTTGCTAAAGCACCGACTAAAGCCATAAGTGCGTGAGTCAAAACATCCAGATTCGGTGGGGCTGATATAATTTTATTGCTTGAATAATCTACTTGATCACTGTACAATACTATATCTTTAATTCCTAAATGAGCGGCTATAAAAGCAAGCTCAGAAGGTGACTTCAAATACTGAACGATAGTCATAATCCACTCTTCAGGGAATCGAGGATACACTGATCGCAAGAAGACATATAAAAAATTTTCCGAAACAGAAAATCCTACAAAGTAAACAAAAACATATAAAGAATACAGCAGATTAACTAAAATTCATGAATTTTAGTAGATATTTAACAAAAACCACTACACGATGATATATTCGATATGAACTAAATGAATGTCAATCATACATCGTATAAAACTACATAATAATAGAAACTCCTAGTTGTTGAGAAATGTGATGCTTCCTGACAGCTGGCTACGTGCAATAATATACACATGTAAGTAGAGACAGTAAAACACGGGTGCTACGACATATGCAGATCAAATAGATGATAATTTGTGACCTGTTTCCGATCCGAATTGATCAACCAATGCGAAACACTTGTACAACGAAGTTTTATCGTTTGACATTCCAAGTACTAAAATATTGACCCATGAAAATCTAAACTTTAGTTAATGAAGTAGATTTCAGATTGTGTGAAGGGCTACTAAACATTTATATGAATAACACAATTTTACTACCACAATCATAAGGAAAACGTTCTTATACTAAGAACATAAACTATGCAGACGAATTCTCCGTATAAAGATATTCAGACAGAAATTAAACCATAAGTGATATACGTGAGTAAAATAGAAACATATACTTTCTCCAATGCTAATCACTTTTAACTTTTTTATGAAACATACTTATGCCATACAACACTGTAAATTGGTGTAAATGGTGATCAGAAGATGTTACATATACTCAGCTACCTCAGTAGATGAAGATTCACAGCCCTTGTAATCGATCTACAACTTCGATCTATTTTCCCACCTACAACCTCAGAATTGCATAGATGAACAATGGTTTTCAGACATATATGGCTAGACATCAACCATCAAAGGCCGTGTTTACAATCATGCATTCGCTATGCAAGAAATTGATTTATTACTATTTTTGGTGAACTAAACATCGTTCAGGCACTTTACCAGCTAAATAGCACAACTTTATCCCGTAACGCAACAGTTTGCATTTCACTGTGATGAAGAATTGTATTTCCTCCCCGAAAGACCTATTACGTAGTTACAAAGATGAATAAGGGGTTTACAAGGTTGCAGCGTATAATATACTACCTTTAAAAGAACCTTTGCAGATGAAACAAAGTATTGTTTTGAGTATTTTAATGACTGTCAACTTGGCTTCCGAAGAGAACTACAGGCAAATAATTCGGTCTTCCCACACAGGTATTATTTTACATACTCATTGAAAATGCGAGACTTAAAGTTTGGTAAAGAAACGTCCTGATTATTGATAAATTAGAACATCTAACAACCGAATGAGTAGATAATAGATAGACGGAACACAGTTGCGTAGTATTGTGGATACTCTAGCTACTATTTTGGTGTGGTGGTCAGGCTTACCTATCGTGAAGTCTCAACTGAGCTATGTTAGATGAAGCACATGTTGTATTAGATGATGCCATATCAAGCAGGTCGGGTGGAGGACCGTAGAACTGAAAGAAGCAATTTTAATTCAAAGTCGTACAACTGACTGTGGAGGGGTGTGATAGAAGGTATTTCCATCAGACAACTAGTATCTATGATGATGCTGCCTTCTCACAACGGAAGGAAAAAGTCAGGAAATGCCACTTCAACCCACAGATTAATGTTTACAATGATAAGGCGTTTTGAAATGCACAACTAACACATACAAAGCTTCCCATAAAAAAGTCGTGTGCTACCGACCTCAAGCAGTTATTCCTGTGGCTCAGTAGTCACATCAACAGGTATAGACTACCTGATTGTTGCTTGGGTGATTATAATAACCAGTGGCCGGACTTTAAATAATATGGCTCAGAATCTTGCAGGTGCACCTATTCTGTATTCCGAATTCTCCACAGTGTTTTTTATTTCAATAAATTAAGTTTTTTTTAATCGTATCTTCAATGTCTAATCTTTACTTTAACCAGTGAAACCGTTATTATCTTTACTACTTTGAGATATACCTTAACATTTTCATCTTGCCACGTCATAAACCAACTGAGTATCTTTAATCGTTCATAAAAACTACATATTAATACCTTTCATTGATGGATTTTCTCTTCGTCTTGTATTTATTACCAAGTTTTACGTACCATAACTGACTAGTGAACTTAATGTGGTCAACTTGTTTTTGCCCTTTACCTCAAATCCAAGTGAGTTTGTGGGATTCAACTGCTTGCGCAATTAGTAAACGCTCAGTAGTTTTGACTAACTTTTTAAAGCAAGCCGGATTTAAACCTGAGTCAGATTAAGATGGATGTATATACTATAATTAATTGAGTTTCGAACGGCATTTTGTTTACTTAATTTTCAACACTTGTCATTAAACAATTACGCAATTCTCCAAGAAGCCTTCTAAGCACATAGTTAAGCTGATAACATCAATGGGTGCAGTAAAACGAATGTAAATTTTCTGAATTCTGTTGCTAATGTTGCTGCTTTATGAAGTTAACACAGATGAAAAATTACATAATTTGTGCATGATATAACCAGAAAACGGAAGATCTCGTAAAGACAGATACTATTGCTGGTGAAGGTTGATAGACCAATTAAATCGATAAAAATAGGTGTTTCTGCTACACACTGCATTACCCTGAATTTTACATGTATTTGGCGTAACAAAATGCATGTTGTTTGACCCTGAGGAATTGGTGGATGAGACATATGAGGTGTTAATACTAAATACATATCAGACATGTTATTAATGGTTGAAACTCAATATACATGAATTTAAAGATGATATTAGTTAGCTAATAACCTTAAGTCCCTTAACAAGACAAACATTTCTACGAACATAAATCTTAATCGTCAACTCCTTACCTAGAGCAGCGAGTTCCGAGTTGTCTTGCGTTATTTTTCTGTCTGAATCGGCCGTTTTTAAAGACCAAAACGAGGAATATGATCTACGATTCAATACACGATATAATTTTCAATTAAGAACTCAGTAACTACCGATCTGTCAGAACGACCTCAATAAGGTCTTTCTCTAAATTCTCACCAATTCTCGACAAAAACGCACATAATTCCGAGTCACGGTTCCAGCATAACCAATCTTTCCTGGGTCGATAAATCTCTGGACCTTGAGCAAGTCTTCTACCATACAAGTCTTTCAGATATGGACGAATAAATCGAGGTCTTCTGCTATGGCGCACACCTAATATTAAAATTAATGATGGAAAACTACCACATACAAGATATCAACACGGGGAAAAGGGTAAATAGACGTGACATCGAAAGCAACGCACTATGACCTTCGATTTGAAATATCACAGTGACAAGGTCTCAACATGAATAAATTCAATAATTTTACTTTAGAACTGGTCGACCGACTTCACGGCCGTTTTTCTCAACCAACCTTTTGAACCTTCAACTCAATAATATGAGCAAGATTTATCTGTACTCAAGTGTTCGAGTGAATTCCTTTTACTTAAAAAGGACGCGTTGTAAACTTCAAAGTGCATTTTCGACCAGTTTGCTTTATATGTATGTGGAAGGAACCTTGATGTGAAACTATATAAATATTAAACTGGATTTATTTGTGGGCACGAGACGCGTAGTGAACATCAGTATATTGTACCGTAATCAAATTATGAAAAAATAATTAACCGATAGGTACTACTATATTTCATTTTGGTTATAAAAATATAAAATATGATGATGACGGGAATAAGAATATCACAGTCATTCATTGAAACTCTACAGAAATTACTGTGTTAAGCATTGTGCGAAACAAGCATTTCTCATAAGTCTTTAAATGATTTTGTAGTGTCGAGTGTTATGCAAGCCCTCATAGCTTATTCTAGCTTAAGGATAGGCCAATTTATTCACTCTTCTTGATGCACTTTTTGAACTTGTTATTCACTCGCTTATCATCATTTACTGTTTTTACATATATTTTTATGTACTTCTTATCCAATTCATTTCATGTCTGCAACTTAATTTTGTTTGACTATAAATATTGGTTAACACTTGATTAAATGCAGTTGGCTCACATGCTTTCTCCACCGTGCATCATTTAGTTTTGCTTCGTTACCTTGACCTTTCGTTCAGACCAACGACTGTATGGTTGCATGTACACATTCGAAATTCATTCTCGTATTGGACTTGTTTAATTCCGGTTTTCATTAACGCGATTTAAGTTGATCATTATATGCTGGGATTGACAACTTGCATATTTAGATAACGATAATTATACGATCGAATTGTAGTTGGATCCGAGTCATTAAAGTTTCAAATGGTTCTGGACGGAAAAAAAGAAGCTTTCACTTAACGGGCCTCCGATTCCGGTAGCAGCGGATCACTGATACGTCCAGGTAGGAACCGAGGTATATTTATTGAAAAATGAGAATGATAGTTAAACGCTGTCACGAATCCTTGAGAACGTTTCCTGATTACAGGAGATTTCAATATTCCTAGGGTCAACTTCGATGAACAAATGTATTTTGAAGGTGAAAAATATACTGAAGCTCTGTTATTCAGCTTCATTGAGAATCTGGGATTATTTGAAAATGTGAAGTAGGCAACTCTTTAGAGAAACAGTCAGACACTGTCTGGCTTAGACCGGGTATTTTCAAACGAAAATTCCTAGTTAAAAACCTCTCAACCCTGGCTCTTCTGGGGAGAAACGATCACGCCTTCATAGCCTTCAGTTTTATAAGCGACAAACGCTGGAGTTTTGAACGACTGAATGTGTCCGCTTTACAGGACTATCTACAACAGATGGATTTGAAAATTCACCTTCAAATTGATGTTGATACTCATTGAGATTTCTAACTGAACACGATCTTATATGCTATAAAGCAGTTTGTCCCTCAAATTGTCATTTGCTAGGCCGAAAAATGCACTTTTGGGCGGAATACAAACGATTTGATAACAGCGCGTACAGATAGTACAAACATATAAGGAACATATGCGCAAAGGCTATAAGAGAAGAAAAAATTCAGTAATAAATAATGCTTATCGATAAATTTGTGTTCAATTCGAAATGCTTATTCCGTTATGCAGCATCTATTCGACAGGCGAAAAGTGGAGTTTCTCAACTTCTAGGTCCTAATCGCACGACCAATAACGATGGTGACGCCGCTAACATTCCCGGACATTTCAACCGACCCAAATCAACTTTATCGATGAAAGTTTCGCCTGCAATTCCACAGGATTTTGCGAAGTGAACCTGAGCTCTGACTTGGTGTTCCGGTAACTTCAGCACTTAAGAAATGGCAGTTCTCCTGTCCCGGATATGGTTCGTGCTGTTATACTGAGAAAAGCAGCTTCAACCCTGGCAACACCGCTTAGTGTGATGTGCTCACACCCTCCAAGCCGAGGCAAACTACTGAAAACTTGGAAGCTGGCTCACTTCACACCAATTTTGAAAGGAGTTCGACGCAGCGAACATCCAAGCTACTGACCAGTGGCCCTTCTCTCTATACTTTCAAAAGTTATGGAGTCCCTGATATGTGACAGTAAACGCGACTGTTTATTATCTTTAAACTTCTTTTAACCCCAACAGCATAGTTTCAGGAGGGGTCATTCTTGTATAGCCAACCTGGTGTCTGTGGTGAACAGATGGACAATCATCCTTGATCGCAGGATGAAAGTTGACATCATTTGCATTGACTTCTCAAAAGCTTTCGATAAGGTCAACCAAGTATGTCTTATCAATAAGCTCAAACGACTGAGCATCAAATCACCTCTAATTGACTGGCCCACTTCACATCTAAAAAATCGACATTTTAAGGTTAGGGTTAACTAAAATTTCTCTCAGCCTGTGGAATGTCCTAGTGATATCCCCCACGGTTCTAACTAAAACCTCTTCTTTCCTGGATTTACATAGACATTCTTCCACAATAGGTAACGTCTGACATTACTTTTTGCTGACGATGTGAAACGTTTTTTCTAAGCATAAAACTTTATACAGTCAATCACGTAAGCTCAGCGAAATGATCGCTGTTCAACGAATGTATGATCCAGACATGCATTTTTATATTAAAATAAAAATTAATTAAGTATTGATTCCATGGGAACGAACGAACAATGAATAGATATGATGGTGTAATTAAAAGGTTATAAAACTTAAAATCAACCTGCGTATCAGTGGAATGATTAAAATTGACTAGATTTTCAAAAATAATTAATTTACTGAAGTTCAGACAAAGATCAGGCAGAGATGGTAGGACAAATGTGCGTCTTTTAAACTGTTAAGTTAGGGTCGATTTACTTCAGACAACATAGTGAGATTAATGATTTATTTGTGAACAACTACTTAAAACAAATGGTTTTTTAAACATTCAGGATTACTTTCTAGTTCTTCTACATCTGCCTACGATGAAATGAACTTTTCGTTACAACTCTTATCAGTATTTCTCTTATCTTTAATTGTAGAGAAATTCTGAACGGAAGCATTATTGTTTAATTTGTCGTACTAGCGTATATCTCGAAGAGATTATCTCATATTTCAAGATGCTGATCATGTATAAAAAGCTGTTCATGTAAAGATTCATCATATTTCTTAAAGATTGTTTAGAATTATCTTATCATTAGATACATCACTAAGCTTGTACTCCCTGGTAAAACCTTTAAAACATTAACAGCCATTATCAAATGTAAGCATGAGGTAAAAATAAGAATTAGTGAAAGAAATCTTCGACCCCATAAAGTCCTCTACAGATTGCTCACATAAATAAACACGAGACACTTGATTTCTTTAGCAATAGAGACTCAAAATGATCAGTGGTTGAAGCAATTAGTCTCTTCGATAAATTTTGATAGTGTAATACGAAGATGAAGATTATAAGAATGATATGATATATTAGCGCAGTACATTTTGAACAATGTGATCACATATATACTTATTATGAACATTTATATATAAAAATAAAAGGTGAACTTTACTAGAAATGGGCGGTAAGAGGAGACAGTAATAATACAGAAAATAATGTGAAAACAATTTGAAACCTCATCACGCTGGATAATAATCTAATATTATGAGGATAGGTTTAGGATGAGAACAAACTGTTTTTGAATACACAATTGGGTTGCAGAAACAAGTGAAATCAAATAAGCCAATAAGAGTAGATGATAAATATCCACAATCTTTTAAGTACATAGTTGATACAGGTCACAAAATCGATATTAAAACAGCTTTTGTGCTGTTGAATAAAAGTGTGGAAAGGAGTATAATATGGTTTATTGAGGCTTTAGGCATACAAAAATACAAATCCCCTTTATGTATTCAAAAATTGTTTGTTGCCATTCTTAATTAACCCAGGTAATATTAGTACAGAATCCTGAGTGATGAGGTTTCAAATTGTTTTCACATTATTTTCTATATTATTACTGTCTCCTTTTATCCCCCCCATTTACAGTAAAGTTCATTTTTTATTTTTATATATAAATATTCTTAATATGTATATATGTGATCACGTTGCTCGAAATAATAGTTGCTTTGACATTCATCCTACAGTAACGCAGAACAAATATTCATTGTAGTTGTTTGCGTCAGAGATGATGTTTATCAATGACAGTCTAATTACACTAAAAGTTATAACGATTTAGGTTATTGAGATGACACTGTCCCACAACCTATAATTTTATACCATCCCAGATCAGCAAGGTACAATATCACGGTCCTCTGTTCATATATACAGTCGACTAAATTAACCAATGTATCTATGACGAAACTTTCGTAAAATAGTGAATTTTTGTGTTTTCTTTCGTTTTTATCTATAAATTAGTTGATTATTTACTAACCATGCTACTCGCATCTTAATTACAAATAGACGCAATTATTTCTATAAAATCAGCATCGATTATTGACTAATCCATAGATTACTAGTAGGAAAGAAAAGGTCATTTATTCTACTTCATACAGCAGGACATTATATCATCTCTAATTATTGTGTTTCTCATTAGCCCAGTGGTATCATCTATTACTCATGGTGTATGACTACTCTATATTCATTAACAACTTCAAAATAACAATAAAAAGCCAGAATAATATATACTTTGTTTTCGTCTTTGTGAATAGGTATCATGTGGAAGTTCACATAGTTGATCAATACTCCATCTAATAGATGTTTACACATTCATAACGAATATACTGAACATCAAGTTTTTCTTGATGTTTTATTAGATATTGTAAAATTTATTCTATCTTTTTCTTCTTGTGAAGATAGAATACTAATTATGACCGATTTCCAAGAATTGAAGTTCCAAATAGTAGTTACCATGGTGTAGCAAAAAAAAACAATTTATTTACTAAATATAAAAAAATGATT